GTGGGTTAATGACCATGTTAATTGCTCACTCTCCTGCACAATTCACTTTAATCGATGTAATTGCACAGTTCGCAGTACGACATCGCTTTAGCACGCGGTCAGTATAACTTCCGCAGAAATGCAAATGGATTGAAATCAAGAACAGTTCCTGGCTGGCAAATAAACTTGGGTAATTAAGCAATTTAACGCCATTGCAGCAATAGTGCGAGGCTTTAAAAACAGTGATCCGAGAAAATGCAATCATTAAGCAAAACACTCTTAATTGCCACCTTTTTGGGCGCTCCAAAAGGAGCATTTCCGCATTTTATGCAGCATTGGCAAACACTCTTTTGCCCACTCGTTTGCAATAATGTTGTTACTTTCAAGTGGGACTTTTTGGCAAACAATAGCACGGAAAGTGAACCTACAATTATCACCCTACAGTTATGCTGATTATGTTTATAGTCACTCATTGTGCACTTTTCAATAATAGTGCAAATACATACTTATACAGGTGTACTCACCGTTGAATTACCACCTCGCTTCTCTTATGTCGCACATCGTGAGCTTTGGATCACTTCGAGAGACTCTAAGTAGTGTTGCAAGTTAGAGTTTGCAAAATTCAGAGGTGAAAAATTATTAATAGTTCACCAAGAGAAGAAATCTTCTGCAAATAATAATAAATACTATTTAAAATTGATCATCACTCAAAGGTAAAAGTGAATACGTAGAAATAAAATAGATTTTGACGTGATAAGAGGTGAAGAACTGGAGGATTTGCTCTCCATTCTTATGCAAAAGTGTGGCATGAGAAATATTTCAGCATTTGCAAATGCCATGAAAAGTTGAAAGCACTTTCCATGTGCAAAATAGCAACCACCCAGAAGACAATAATTGACCCATTTTCCATCTCTTTTATATTTATTGCCTATTTGAACTTTTGCCGAGGGGTTAATTGGAATTTTCTACAATAGCCCATGAAGAAATGGCGAAATAATCCAATCGAAGGCGGAAAAAATATGTTATACTATTTCATTGGAAGAAATGCAATTCGATGACATTTTATGGTGTACATTCAAGTCAATCAAATTTGCCTCATTGTTTCACACACATCGAAATTAATTAAATGCCTCGAAGTATTGAATTACCCGATGGAGTGCAGGAGGTGTGGTGAATTAATTTGCAATTCTCATGTGGGGGGGCTTTTCAATATATTACTCTCAATACAAAGTGAGCTGCAGTGATGGTTTAACGAGCAAATTGCCGATGGATGGTCGCCTTTATCCTTCATCTCTTACGACATTTGAAAGATGTTTTCGCCACTGGATTGCATTGGACTTCATTGCCATTTCTATTGACTCTCCCCCCAGAGCAGGACATTCGCTCGCAACTGGCCTCGCGGCATGAAATGCACAGAATCGCTTCCTTGTGACCCATAAATTCATGAACGCGAGAGAGTGAAAGTGATGCTGTAGCATGAAGGGCGGAGAAAAAAAGTGTAGAGGAAACCACCAGCGTCTAATTAAAAGCGTAAAATGTTAATTGGAGTCGGAAATTGAGTTTGCCGATGGTGGGAAAAGGGAGGCACAATTCAAATGCACACCGGTAATTGCGATGCAGTGGAATTTCAACGCATCACTCGCGAATCTGATTTTCCCTCCATCTTTCGCCGGGGAGGAGCCCGCTCGTAAATCATTGACTGTGCGCACTCGTGCAGCAATCAACCCTGGACAGACTCAGTGTGACACGCTTGCAGATTAGCACCGTCTCACGCCGACTCGCAACTGGCTAAATGATTTACAATGTCTCATTTGCATAATATTATGTGCGCGAGAAATACCTAATGGGAGACAATCATTGGAAGAATGAGAGGAGCAGTCGAAATCTTGCGAAATTGTGGTCTGTCGCTGATCTTAAAGGAATATCCTATTGTAAAAACAATGTGAAATATGTCTTCCGCATTCTGAGAATGGGTGTTTGATGAATTCCGACTTTGACGATCTCAATTAGATAGCGGTGATTGAGAGGACTTTCCACAGCAATTGATTCAAGACAATTTATTTGTATTTCGCAAAGGAAAAATATTACGATCGGAAATTGGTGTACGACTTTTATGGAAGTGTTAAAGTATTTCGAATATTTGCATTGAAAAAGCTGCAGTTCCAACAAATTGAGGAATTTCTATATTATTTTGAAGAGCCTAATCTTCTCGTGAGTGAAAAATCTGGATTAGATTGTGATAAAAGCTAGAAATGAGTTTAAGAAACAGTTGAAGATCTGAAATTGTTAGGATTTTCCACAGAAATTGTGGAAGTGTCAAGAAGTGGTGTACAGATTAAAGGCATATTAGCTCCCCCATGTTATTTCGCTGCAGAAACCCAATATTAGAAAATACTAGACAGAAGAGTTGATTGTGATCATAAATTTACATTTAAATCCATGGAAATACTGCTTGAGATCATAATAAAATAATTCATTTCAAGTCAATCTCTTCTACTAAATATGTTAAGCACGTTAAGCACTTCAAAAGTCGCTCTCTGTGCTGTGTTTGAACTGTCTTTCAAGCAAAATTAATCCACTTTTAGATCTTGAGCTGAGATTTGAAGGGATTACGTGAGAAAAGGCGACAATTAAGAATGATTTTCCGCACTTCCTGCACATGTTGTCTCTCCAGCTGTGCCTCCCTCTCGATACACATGTGAATATTGATGAATATTCGACATGCCAAGAACACTTCCAGCAACGACAGCGCGATTGAGCCTCTTGATTGCGGCCGTGCGTGGAATTCTTTGCATTGCATTGCGCGCTGCAGAGGATAATTTGGGCAGCGCGCGGGCATTAATTTCGACTGATTTTCCACGTGGTGGCCTCGATGGCGAAGGATTTAGTGAAATTGAAGGGTCGCAGCGGGGCGCGCGAGCGCAATTGAAGGCGAGAAGAGGCGAAAAAGTGCCTCTTTCAATTATGCTGCGATAGGCCATTGTCTGCCGCGTGATGGATATTGAATTAGCAATCAGTGGCGGCGGAGATTCAAGATCACAGACAATTGGAGCGCACGCGATCACGAGATTTTACCATAAAGTGTGGGGCCTGTGTCGCGCTGATGGAAAAATAGGTGTGCGGCTCTCCCAATAGCAGAAAATCACCTTGATTGCCTGGCGAACTGACATCAAACATGATAGCTCAAATCGTTCTCTCTCTCCCAACTTTGCATCAAGCCACATTTTTACGACACTTTGGCGCAACAATATTTATTAATTGGCCGCGCGCGGATTCCTTTCGCAGCTCTCTCGCGAGAGCCTTCCTGAATCGCCACAGACTGAAAGGTGAGGCACATGTAAAATTATGCCGCATAAATCACACCAGCAATGAAATCTCAAAGAATTGTAATTAAAATCGTACAACCGCGTATTCTGATTTAGAACAACCATTCGGCAGAAGGCATTCCCGCGCAATTTGCCATGTCTCCGTCAGCGCCACAGTATATTAAATTACCGTATAAGCGAGGTGATCTTAATATTAAGCATTTTATTGAACACTTTATGGTGGTCCGAGCAGAACAGTTCGCACCGAGGAAACAGTAGTGCAAAGCTCGCGATTAGTTGTCTCGCTGGCGGTACAAAATGCCATTTGAGAACGTTTTGCAATGTCCGATTTAATTTCTCAAACACGGATTTTCGTGTTTTTCACCAATTTTCGTGCACATATTGACACGGAAAAAATGCGACAGAGAAATTTTATTCACACAAATATTGTAAGCTATTAATACTGGACGATGGAGGAAATCAACTTTCACGCCACCAAACGTGTGTGGATGGAAAATGGCAATGGAATGGGGATTTCAGAGACAAATAAAATGCAAGATGAAAATCAGCAATCAAATAAAAGAAATGCGAAACAGTAAAAGTCTTCCCTTAAAATTAAGAGTGAGTTATTTTAATGAGTCAATTTATGCTGATTACTCATGAATGGCTGAGCGTTTAATCAAATGCAATATGTATGCGAATGTGTTAATTAGAAGATCGCCAATGGATGTGTTTTGAGTTCAAAAGCTTTCTCATGACGCACGCAAAATGGGATGTACTTTTGCACAATATCATAAAAATGTTATTGCCCAGAGTCGTAACCGGTGAGCATATTGTAAATAGTACAAAATGCAAATTTCACACTTAATTCTTGCATCCGCGACTCTTGTGAGATCAACACGTGGTGAATCGATTTGGATGATTACTATTTGTGAGATGATCGGCGATCGTGACGAAGTGAAAGTCTGAATATTGATGAGCCTCTCTTCTTGCCACCTTCATTTTGCATGAAGCCGAAGTGCACTGAGACAGGGAAATTGTGCATTGCCAGCAAATAATGCACTAAATCATGCCATTTTATGCGGAAGCTTGTGTCTCTTGGCGAAACGAATCATGTCATCTGGAGGAGATCGCATGTTCATCTCAGTGTGATCTCTATTTTAGGGATTTCCCCAAAGGCAATATTCAGTCTACTCCCTCACTCACCGCACAGTCTCACAATGAACTGGCTTACATAAATCACACATGAAGCAAAGAATTCCGAAATGAATATTAAATTGAATTATTAATACACAATGACACTGATTGTTCCGAGAGTCCACTCTCGATGCCGTGTTGTCCGCAGCGCCAGAAAGGATCATTAATCAGAGCGACGTGTTTCTCTTTATACGACAAAAGGTGTACAATTTATTTTTTCCTCCACCGCGAGGAATTCCCTCAGTTTTGCCCAGAAGCGTGAGATATCAATCAAAATGCTCGCGGACTTGACAATCTCCCGATGAATGCTTTCTTTTGCCCATGCAACACTTTCAAGGATTTATGACACACGTGGAGGATAAGAATTTTCTGAATTCACTCTCGAAACTCGTGCTGATCAGCTAAGGTTGTGTCTTTGCGCCTATGAATTAATCATTTTGCGCGCGCGCTCTCTCTTATTTTAAGAGATCTCGTGACAAAGCAAATTCATCTCTTACTTCTCTTTCTTCTTCTTTTCAGAACGAACTGCCGAAGATGATTCGGACATGCTGATGGAGCCCGATGAGTTCCACGACACCTCCATCATCCCTGCCGTCCTGTATTCGCACCACACCACGCACGCGGCCGAGTCTGGCTTCCATCCCATCGCCAATCCCGAGTACACGACGCTCTCCTATCCCTCGGGCCCCTCCTCCTCTCCAGCCACCGCCCACGAGGCCGACGCGCCGGCTTCTGAGGCGCAGAACTACTTCCAGTCCTACTTCAGGAACACCGTGCCACCGCTCGGCCACTCCAGGCCCTACTACAGTTCCGGCCATCACCGAGGCGAGGGCACCACTGGTACTCGCTACAGCTCGCTGCGGAGCGTCGGTGGGAACTTTGATCAGGCCATCCTTGGCTCCGGGGACTTCGGAGTGATCCGCGGCGGCACGTTCTACGGCGAGAACGATCCGCCATTCCGCGACACTGGTGACTTCTACAATTACTACAACCACAAGAACGGCCACCAGCGTCCGCACGCCGCCGCCTACGTCCAGCGCTACACGTATCCCGAGGAGCAGTTCGCCAACTTCCGCGACTTCGCCGACATCAATGCGCCCTCGGACTCCGCATACTCGCAATTCGTCGTGGTGTACGCCAACAAGAATTCCACGGAGGCCCATCCGAATCCCAAGAACATCTTCGAGCAGCTGGAGTTGCTGGACAAGGCGGAGGAGAAGAAGAACAAGGGCCTGAGCAAGCACAAAGCCAAGCTGGCGGCCACCAAGTTGGAGAAGAAGTACAGGAAGAAGCTGAGCCCCAAGGAGGCCGATCTGCTGGAGCCACTGCTGGCGCTCAGCTAAGCTCTAACATTCCCTCTCTTGTGCAGAAGGCTCATCAGTGTTTCATCTCTACATCGACTTTTAGTGTGAATTAGAGAATTCTTTACCTGACCATAACTCTTGAGGTCGCCGCGATTGGGTAGTCAGAAAGGAAAGTAAATTCCAAGAAATTCAGTCCCTTTCAGATAAAATACAGACTTTCAGGAGAATCTTTTGGTTTCTGCACTCTAAACCAGAGAAGCATTTACCGCGATTTTGATACATTCAATATCAAGCAGAGTTACCAGAAACTCCAAAGACTACCATAAATTACTCGCAATGCTTTTCTGGACGAAATTGAAACAATCAGTCTTTCTGCAGAACAATCACAATTAGAAATACTAAATATTTGAGTACAAATATTAGTGTATTTCGTTATAATAATAAAAAATACTCGAGAAACCCTTAAGTTTAAGCGAATAATTCTGTACTGACTTGCGAATTTCTTACCTTTCTGACCGCCATAGAATATTTTTTTTACAAATCATCGCGATGTGAAACAATCGAAGGAAGAGTTTAGAAAAACAAGGGAAAACTGTGATCAGGGACAATCAAGTGTAATTTTTTTTTGTTGAAATTGTGGCGTCTTGAAAACCGTTTTGAAAGCAAACATAATTAAAAGATGGTTGATTTGTATTTGAGGAAAGAGTACTTGAACATTATTATTCTCCATAATTCTTTTTCCATACTGTTGTTTTTTTTTGTTTCATCATTCCCACATTATTTCTCAAGACAGTATAGAGTTTTTTCTACCTTCTTTCATGACAAATATAATCTAAGGTAATAATTAAATTCTTAATTGTAATTATATATTAAAGTGTAATTGTAGTAGATTGTAAAAAGCAAAACTAGTTTGTAAGAGTTCGTTTTACATTTAATAAATTTTAATATTTTATTTTATAGTAAAATACTTTTTTCCTCGTTTCTATTCTACGTGATTATCTTTGTTCTTTTAAAATCTGCTCCTTCAATTTCTTTCTACACTTCCAACTGGGCCTCTAATACATGATTCTTTTCATTTCATCATTACTAAACTCTTGTATTTTTTTTTCTTCTTTAATTTTCTTCCTGCTTTTTTTTATCTTGTGAAAAATGCCCATTTCTAAATTCTCTCTATAATGAATTCCTACCATTTCTACAAATACACAACGACATGACATTATATTGAAACGCCAAACTATAAAGAGAAGGTACAACACGAATTTCACGACACAAAGCATCAACACATTGTGTGCTTCTTCTCTAATCTAACCACTTATAATCCTATGCATTTTCTCAAGTGTAAAATCTCCATAGCTTATATAGACAGAGTTTGCATTGAAGTTTAAACTAAACCATAACTAAATTTGAAACTCTCCTTTCACTTTTCCGAATACTTCCATTAATCTGTTTCCTTATATTTAATCACTTAATCATCATTATATCAATAGATTTCAAATTACGTGGCAGGTAACTCTGGGAAGAATTCCCTTTCCCTCGTGTGTAATTCCACTCTTGTATTCCATTTCTGCAGAGCACATACTTTTTTTTCTCCTCCTCCTCCTTCTTCATGAAATTCATGTGATAAATTGTCAGTGGAAATCCAATTTCATTAATATTTAAACTCCTCTATATTTCCTCATAATTCTCTATCTCACTACCAGCTTAATGTGATGCTTAAATACATATTTTAGCGCGTAAATGTTACCATTTAAGTAGAATTTTAGTGCATGGTTTCTCTTAGTTGATAGATAAAGAAAAAGAAAAACAATACAGAGAAAATCTTTTTATAGCCTAAATCACTTCATAAATCTACATGAAATTCCTTTTCGATATAATTGAAGAATTATATTGTAAAAATCTTCACGAATGGCGTGAATACACACACACACACATCTTATACGTCTAAGTATGTCGCATTGCATCCTAAGCAATGCTCTTAAAATGTATCTCTTTATATATATATATGAAAATAGTACTTGAGGAAAGTGAGAAGAGAGTTTGGAAACTGTATCATTATTCATGCAAAACCGGTGGATTTTCCTCAATATGGAAAGATGTTTACGCTCTTCAGCACATTTTTTCTGCGTGGAAATAAATGCAGTGGAGTCCAAACTGGGCTGCTTCTCTTTACAGGGGACAACTTACAGCCCACATTTGCATTTCACTGTATATAATTTCTGAGTATATCAAGAGGAAGTGAGACTCACATTAGGAAGCCTCACTGTGGCGCCAGCAGAAGGAAGACAAGCTGCTCCTATTCATGCATCAATCGCGCATGGTCTTTCATCTGCTGGGCATCAGCGAAGAACACCTGACACTTGGAGCACTTCCACTCCGTGGGCATCCGATGAGCCTCCATGCACTTGATAGAGGCGAAGTGGCTGCGATGAGGCGTGTCACACAGGCGACATTTGTACACAATGGCCTGGGCATCGGATTTCTCGTCAGTGGATGAAATCTCCACCGTCTTCGGCTCAATCTCATCCGCATCGATGTACTCCTCCATGAACTCCTCATCCTCATCATTGAAGTTCTCATCTTCAGCCACACTCTCGTCCTCGCTGTCCTCAATCACGTCATCATCGTCCTCAATCACATCCTCGCCACTCTCATCCAGGTCGTCATCATCAGAGTCTGAACCCACGACCTCCTCCAGTAATTGACTGTCTTGAGGATCTTTCTTCACCACCACTTCCTCCTCATCATCCTCCTCCTCCTCCTCTTCGGCCTCCGACTGGGCAGTCTGCTTGGCCACCGGCACAGGTGACGGCGAATTTCCCTTCACCTCCTCATTCCCAATCGTGGCTGTCCCATTAATGAAATGTGATGTTACATGGCGACGGAGTTCTGCCGACGTCTTGAAGAACACCTGGCACAGATCACACGAGTGTTTGTCACCCTCCCTCTCCTCCGCGTCACTCATCTCGGGCGAACTCTCAGCCACAACGTCGTCCTCCACCATCACTTCCTGCGCCTTCGCCTCTGAGCTGTTCTCCGGCTCCTCCTCATCCTCCACCTCTTCAATATCATCCTCCGCCCTGTCGCCCGTGCTATTCAAATGTGTGATCATGTGCTGCAGCAATCTCTCCTTCCGCGTGAACATCTTCCCACAAATCTCACAGTTCCACTCGAATGTCGTCGAGGGCTTCTGATTCTTCGCATGTCCCATCTTGTGCTCAATCCACTCGATGTGCGTGTCAAAACTCTTGTTGCACGCACTGCACTCGCGCTCCTTCTCAATAAACACCCCCGGATTCACTGCCTCGCGATTCATGCGCGACTCATTGCGCTTGTGCACCTCCACAATGTGCCGCCTCAGATTATTGGCACTGGCGAACTTGGAGCTGCAATACGGACAAACGGGTGGCTTCGAGGGCAGCGGCCGGAATCGCTTGGCTCTGCTCGGTGGCAATGTTCCCGGTTGCCAGATATTTCCCGGATCTGTCACCTGACGCCCATCAGGTGACCTAAAGTGCCACCCACGGTGCACCTTGAGGGCACTCAGCAGAGAGAAGGTCTTGGGGCAAATGTCACACGAGAACTCTCCGTCGTTGTTCAGCAACGAGTTGCCCCAGTTGGACGGCTGATCAGATTGCTGCTCCAGACTGTCACTGAGCGCTGTCACCAGGAGTGACGAACTGAACATGCTATTCTCCATCTCGTGAATCCTCAGGTGTTTGCTTAGTGGTGACTTGTCCTGGAACTTCCTGCCGCACACGTGGCAAGAGTACTTTCCCGTGTCACTGCCTGCCTCCTCGGCATCGCCACTAATTCCATCCAACAGACTCTTCTTCGCCCCACCGTGCGTCTTCAGATGATACCCAAGCTCCGTCTTGTCATAGAACACCTTGCTGCACACCTCGCACGGCGACGGCATCTGTGGACGCGGGTGCTTCTTGTGTCGGTGCACCCACAAAGACTTCCTGGTCCCATACACATTCCCACAATCTCTGCACGTGTAATCCGTGGAGTCATGCTCCTCGTGGGTGTTCATGTGAATCGTCAGCTTCTTGTTGGAGTTGAAGTTCTCATCGCAGTAGCGGCACTGGAACCACACCTCGATTGGCGTGTAGTCCGGCAGCGTCTCATTGTGGGAATCCCCATCCTTGACCACACTTGACTGTTCCGCCGATTCATCAAGATCCGGCAGACTGTGAAAGAAAAATAATTAAAAAATCATCTCCTAACTGAACAAAACTGCTACATTAATTGACTTGCAAATGAACAATAAACTCACTTTGTCACTCCATGAACTGTGTTGATGTGATCCCGCAGTTGCTCCACACTCCTGTACACTGTATGGCAAATGTTGCACTCAAAGTGCTGCTGATCCGCAGATCCGCCCTCTTCCTCCTTCACAGATATATTGTGCGTCCTGAACATGTGCACACGCAGTCCCTTCTCATTGCTGAATTCCGCCGGACAGAGATCGCAGCTCACAAACTGACAATCATTAATCTGGTGCTCAATAAGCAAGTGATTCTTGTACCCAACCTTGCTGCTGATCCTCTTCTGGCACACGCGACAACGCATTCTGGAGTTGTAGTGCAGTGGCTTCTGCGAAATTCCCGGCTCACCTGTCAAATCCACCGACACATCAGCCTTCTGGGGACTCGTTTGGGCCGTTTGCGCACCACTGCCGCTCTTCTGTGCACTTTCACGTGGCTTCGCAATGATCTCCACACCGTCCAGATGCAAATTGAGTGCATCCACGACTGATTGCGGATCCAGTGGCTCCAGCTTCACTTCAACCTCCGTCTTGGTGATCTGCTTGAAGAGCGCCTCGTCGCTGTCGAGTACAAGATGCGTGGTCATGGTGTGATACTGCAGACCCTCTTCTGTGTTGAAGGACGCCTTGCAGATGCCGCACGAGTACACCTTCAGCTTCGTGTGGGTGGCCAGGTGAGTCTCAAACTCGTCGCGCGCCTTTACGGTGAAGTCACACTGCTGGCACATGAACTTATCATGGCTCGTCTGATGCTCAATCCACGCCTCCTTCTTCTCGAACAGCTCCTTGCACTCCCTGCAGCTAAAGCTGATGGGCTTCACCTTGGTCAAGCTCAACTCACCATGAGCCGTCTTCACGTGCTCTCGCAATTCAGTTTGCCGTGCGAAGCCCGTCTGGCAAATCTCGCAGTGATAAGTCTTGGGCATCTTATCTGGATGCTTCGACTCCATGTGCCTCAACACATTGTAGTAGTTGTTATACTGCTTATCGCACACGGGACAATTCTGGGCGCTCTTCGAGTTGGGCTGTCCACTCTCCTCCACCTCCTTGAAGTCATCCTCACCATTCTGACTGGCCATCTGTGCGTTAGCCTGCTTCTGAATCGTTCCACGGCCCAATTTTGTCAGATGCGTCGCATACACGTGCTCCAGAAACTGCGGATTCGAGTCAAAACGCTCCTCGCAGTTGCCACAGATCAGAAACACCAGACACTCCATATTTCCGAAATGCTTCTTGCGCTGACTCGCCTCCTCGAATGTGGCCTCACAATACGTACAGTTGCCCGTCATCGGATCCCGGAAGTTCTGCGCATCCGGATGACTCTCATTGACGTGCGTGCGGAAGTCACTCTTGAGCCGGAACTGCTCAGTGCACAGCTTGCATCCGTACGCCTTATTGGCCAGGATCTCTTTCGGTCCAATGCGACCCGAGGGCGATGATGTGTGAAACACCTTGGAAATTGACGTGTCCGCCATGTAGAGCGTGTACAGATTCAGGCAATTCTTCTTCTTCAAGTGCGCTATAAACTGTCCCTTCGTCTCAAACTGCCTGAGACACTTGAAGCACATGTTGCGCGGCAGAGACAAAAAGCGCTTTCGCATGTGAGACATGAAGGTCTTGTACGTGAAGTACTTTCGATCGCAACACTTGCATTTCATATCTTGATACTGGCCAAGAAACTTCAGATTCCGCCTGATGAATGCCAACTTGTTCTCCGTGAGGAGATGCCGATACTTCTCGGGCTTCGTGTAGTCCCACTCTTCGGGCACCGGCTTTGTGGGCTTCTTCAGCACCGGAACCGACGGTTTTACATCGTCTCCACTCGTCACCGAAGCGGATCCACTCGCTTGACCACCACCGCCACTGCCCTGCTCTCTCTTCGGCAGCATGATGAGCGGCGGCGGCGGCTTTGGCATCACCGTGATGTCCCCATTCTCTGTCGATATCTTAATCCCATGGATGTTCCTCTCGTGGCGACGAGCATTGGCGCGATTGGAGAATTTCATCTGACAAATCTGACACCTGGCCGGAATTGAGGGCTGAGTCTTGCGCTTCAGCAGCGCCTGAAGCCCACCGCTGAACGGCATGGAGGAGTCCCCGTCCTCCATCTCCTGGTCGTACTCCTCCAGATCCGTGGCCAGATAGTTGTAGGGATTGACATGGTTGATATGCGTGAGACCGAGAGATGTCAGTATTGGTGGTCCCTCGTCATTATGCGCAGAGTCATTCTGGTACTCCTCCTCCGAGTCGTTGTCAGCGAGAAATTGACTCGGATCGAGCTCCATGTTGACAGTGACTGGACCCTGGAATTCCCAGAAAAATCAGCATTACTACGCGGTTAGTGACTCCCACTGCCAGGACATCGCAGCGTTTCTCTCTCTCCATGACCTACATGCACTCGAGTATTAATATCATTCGTCCATCCTTTTACATTTCATTCATGGAAACGATGGAAACGCACAAAGTGACCCAAATTGCATGTCGCATTTTTTTTTAATCAAAATTCCTGCTGCACAACAAATTGCAGAGTTCCTGGGAAAACGTTTCAATTTGATAAAACTTAGAATATTGCATTTCACCCAATTTAGCAGAGCATTTTCCATTTTTCCCTTGAGAAACAGTCGTTTCACACAGTTTTTTACACCATAAAATAGGAAAAATTAATATTTTTCACAGCACCTGGACTGATCCACTGTGTGTGTGGTGTAATTAATTAAATACTTCTAGAGTCTCTTCGTGAAATTAGCTCCCGATAAATTCCCTTTGCTGCCGCTATTTCACCACGCCAAGAGATCTTTGCCTGGAATTCTTCCAAAAGGCGTCCCGCTGAGTTTATTTCTACCTCTCACTCTCTCAGCCGCTCTCTCAACCCTGACTATTCCCAGGAAGAACGCCCTAAGCTCTCTTTGTAAGATAAAAGCAAAACACTTTACCTCCTGCTCCTCGTCATCCTTGGGCTCCTGCTTGATGAAGCTCTGCAAGTGAAGGGAATTTGTGAGGCTTCAAAGGAGATTTCTACAAGATTTCCAATACTCACGTCGCTCTCTGCCACACTGGGACGCTGGGAAGCGCTGGCAGAGGCGCTCTTGAGTTGCTTCTCCGGATAGAAATCCTCATCTGCAGACCCCTCGTGGGTCCTCTTGGCCGTCACCCGCTGATCATCGCCCTCGGCGGAGTGGCGGCGCTTTTTGGCCGCGCTGGAAGCTTCCTCGCGGGCGCTGTTGAGCTGCCGCTGGAGCTGGCAGGTCAGCCACGTTTTCTGCTTCCGCTGGGCGGCGTAGCAGCGATTCTTGAAGCTCTGCCATGAGTTCAAGTAGCTGATGCACGCGTGACAGATGCGCGACGAGAGACTGTCGGACTGATGAACCTGGCCAGGAGAGAGAGAGAAAGAGGCGGTGGTGAATAAAATCCGGCGACGGCGCCACTGAGCTCGAAAATGAGGCCAAGAAAGAGTGTGTCCACTTGTCCGAGAGATGAGAGCGGAGCTCATGAGGCTCGGGGTGGCCAGCATGAAGAGGCCGAAGCTCTGACACGCCGAGGTGAATCATCCATGTGGTTGTGCGGAGTCACACAGAGAAGCCGTGCGCGATTCGAGCAGCGAATCAATTCACCACACATTCCTCCCGTCTTCTCAGCCTTGTGCTCTGGGCCTGGGAGTCGCTCTCGGCTGGCCTCAGACGAATCCAAGATGGTGGCCGCCGCATCGCCCGACCCCATCCCTGGCTTCCGGCCGCCCGTTCGCGTCCGGGAGGTTGGAAAAATCAATATCGCCTCACCTTTATATTGACACACGCCAGAATTTTCATCGCCAGCGCCTCCCGGTCGGCAGCTGCTGTCGCGAATATGGAGACACACTCATTGTCCGGGGCCAAGCAGAGGCGGCAGCCCCGCTTGATGCCCATCTCACCCTCCATCACACCTCTCACACTATCCACGTACCCTCGCGGGGGCTTCTGCACTCCACTTCCTCTCAGAAACGCGCTCAGTCCGCACCAAAAGTCCTCCGCTTGAAAAAGGTCAGGAGAGAGACGGTCTCCGCGCTACTCTCCGTTCAACACTGCACTGACATCTTGCCCACAAACTCGCTAGGTGGCATGAAAGTTCACCGCACACACCGCTAGCCGTCCCGCTCGCACCCGAGCGGTTGCGCCGCTCCAGGCCAACCACTCGCCTCCGCTGCCGTCTCGCTCGCGTGCTCGCGCGCGATTCAAGAGTAGGCCAGGGAGTTTGCCTCCACAAACGGGCAGCAGGAAGGAGGGAATGGTGACCCAAACCACGAAATGCACCCCAACAGGAAATCCCTGGAAAAGCCACCTCAGAGACGCCCTCGAATCCGTCCCTGGTGCGCTGTGGAGTGTCTCCGTGGATGCCTGCTGGTGTCGCCGAAGACGCCCGACCGATACCACCAATACACTGGCACAGGCGGTGACTTTCTCAGGTGAAGGACAGGCAAAAAGAGTCCCTCGTGGAGTGGCTGGACTGGCCAGAGAGATCGCGCTGAATCACTCTTTGCCGGATCTCTCGGCTCTGTGTTGGTATTAATAGCCATGGCATTTCGCACAGGCCATTTATGTGCATCTCGCCACCGCGATCCGGATTCGATCGGCAGATGCCCTGGCGCGCCTGCAGATGCCAAGGGAAGCGATCGGTCGCAACAGAGGCGAGTTTTCAGTGGAAACCGCCAGAGAACAAAGATGAGGTTTCATGGGAAGGCATGGCGAGAGACGGTGAGATGAGCGCAATCTCGCGCATTCCATCAGGCTCAGTTATATGCACGCCATTCACAGACAACGAGTCCCTTTCCCTTTATGTTTTACATCCTTATAATTATAATAATTACATACAATCCTTCTAATCTCTCTACATGGCTTGAGGTTTTCTATTTGTATTTTTTTTTTATTGAAAATTAATGTACAACGATTAAAAAAGTAATCTCAGAGAATACTTAACAAAAAATTGTCTTAAATTGCAAATGCAATTCGGGCTTTTAAAAGCTCAAGAAACTCCCAGACACTCCTTAAAGCAGCCAATTATTGCTGAAAAGTTACCCGACGAGACGTGAAGCACGGCGAGAGCGTGTGGCTGCGCCTCTGCCGGATCTCTCCACCTTGCCAAACACACACCAAATCTCCGCTCCGCACACAGAGAGCAACTCAAGTGGCGTTCCCTGCGTGCTGTTCCGCTGGCGTGGTTCGGCTCCGAGAGACGACACTGTCGAGCTGCCGCCTGCGAAACGTGAGTCCGACGAGCGTCCCAAAAAATCGATAGCTAGGCATCAGCGATTCACTGGGAGAAGCGGCCAGAGCGTCACTCCTGGGGTGGCGAGCGCTGTATCTGAGAAAATCTCCACCGCTCAGTCCCCTCGCTGTGTGTGGGCGGGCATCCCACCCCACGCTGGACATGCCACACAGCCTGAGTGGGCGCCGAGAGCAGGGCGACGACGCTGAGGAGTCCCTCTCTGTTCACCTCTCGCCAGAAGACACCCCGGAGATGCCACGCTCTGTCGTTGTATGCGGCCCTCCGTCCGACCACAATAGCGCTGCCGCGCGCCGCACTCCGCGTCCCTCCGCGCCGGGCCAGCCTTCACGGACTCCGTCGAGCAGCAGCGCACTCAACATCTGCGAGAGCGAAGCCCACATTTTACCTGTGCCTCCACAACACAGCCTTCCATCGCTCCGGCGAGGCATGATAAAAAGGCACACGAAACTCTGGCGAGTTCACATGGTCTCTTTTTTTCCTCTTTCTCATCTCTCGTTCCTCCACACCTCATCTCGAGCGCTCTCCCAGCTCTCTGGCCACATTCAGTTCACTTTCATCATCATCAGCGCGCCTCTGGATTTGTGTCAGGGCAATTGACTCGTCAACTCCATCGCCAAGTCCTCCAAGCCCAGCAATTTCGCTGCCCAGATTCATCCTACAGAGAGCAAGAGAGCGAGAGAGAGAGAGAGAGATAAACAGTCACTATCTGACCACATTCACTCATTTTCCATCCACTCGCGAGCTCGTGGAAGGCAACATTGGAAGAGAGCATTGGAAAAATGCTCAAGCACAACCACTGGCGCTTTATGTGAGCTCTGAAAGCATGTGCGAAATGCTCGCATCGCGGAGGGTTTATCAGTTTCAGAAAAAGAGGAAGTTTGAAGCCGGTTTTTCAACACATCCCAGCGAACACATTACCATTAAATCAGCATGTTTTCCAGTTGATTTTATGCTCGTAATCGAACAGCTTCCATATGAAAAAGAACTCAGATAATGTATGAAAATGGAACAATGAAGGAAAGAAAACATGCTCATATTTGATCACAAAATTGAGCAAATTTTTCATGAATTTGACCAAAACCAAGTGCTTTTGTGAGCAGATCTTTGAGCACAATGAAATTCTCACATAAATGTAATTTTTACGTCCAATAAAATACTCATTTTCAAGAAATTCATACTACTATTTATTCACCTATTCTGTATCTGATTTTTGTCGCTCTCACAGCCTAATGACAGACCCCCGAGTCGGAAACAACCAGAGCAAAAACACTCCGGTTAGACTTAAAATAACTCCACAGCATTATCATCCCAAAGTCAACATTTCGAATATGATAAAGTCTCTATCGGAGGGAAAAAGAAGAAAAGAAATTGCCATAAAAGGCGGTCTAGAGGTCAGCTTAATACACTCTAAGCACTTTTTCGCTGGTCTGGAACATTCCCAAATCTTTTCTCCACTTCAGTTTCATTTCTTACACACTGGAATACACTTGACTTTACCCCACTTCATCGCCAATGTAAGTCTGATTGGTTTTCTGGCTGAGAGTCGTCGGTATTGCATAGTTCTTGCGAAAATGCTATGGGCTTTGTGTGTTCGCCAATAAAATCGAAAGTAAGAGCGTGAAATATTCATGCCTTGGACGGGAACATCGCGGGAATATGTTAAGTGTGAGGAACATTATGTCTTCAGTACTGTCGTGCCGCGCTTCTCCTCAACACACATTCGCGCGATCGCCTCTATAGATTCTGAACATGCTTAAGATCTTTGCCCTCTCAGTAGTTTTGGCTAGCATTTCAGCCCGTGTGAGTGTATCTCAATCAACTAATCGCACTGAAATAGGCTAGATATCACTCACCGTTGTTTGCAATTTACACTGCACTTGATCTTCAACATTAGGTAGTGATCATTTCATTTATTGGGTGCAATTAAAATAATGAAGTTTGCTTGTCAGATAAGAACAGCGAGAGAGAAATGTCACTTGTGGGATGATAAATCGTCACTTAATTGGCCTCTCTTGTGTGTAAATTCGTTTGTATTGACTCTCGCATATAAAAACACTCGAGAGAAGACTGATAAAGCCTCGCAGGCAGGCAGAATTTCATCCGGAAACTTGGCCACATAACTCCACTCTCAAATCGCCTCTCGCGCTCAATTGACTATCATCTCTGGTGCTATTCGCTCATCTCTGACTTCATTCTCCCATCCAGATGACAGCGTACAAAGTTGAACAAGTGCCGGCGCCGCTCGCGAATCTCGGCGAAGGACCGCACTGGGATTGGCAGACACAGAACCTGTACTATGTCGACATCTACGGTGGCACCATCAATCGCTTCAGCTATGCCGAGAATAAGACCTATTCCGCAACTGTTGGTGAGTTTCAATTGTGCAAACAAAAAAAAAAACTGTGAAGAATCAGTGAAGGTGACTAGGAAGGTTCTTATTTGAAAGATCTCTCTTGCGCGCAGTCTTGAGAAATCACAAAGTATTTGAACATTGATAATCGCGCAGTCAACCGTCCAACTGTACAAAAAAAACATCCAATTTTGATATGATTTTTTGAATGGAAAGAGGCAAAGAAGAAATGCACGAAACGATAAGCTACAGAGTGGCGCACCGGAAACGCAATCCGTTCGTGTACAGTTGATAAATCCTATTGTAATCATATTTTTATCTCTTCGGAATTTGCTTTTGACTACAACTTCTCATTCGTATTATGCGCTCAAGATGCACATTCAAGGTTCTAAGGCTTCTTTAAGAGAGGCGGCAAAAACTAGCAATCTTTTTATTGCGATATCTAATTTATCAGCTTTTTAATAACGATGCTTTTGCAAATCACTCAACGTCATGAATAGCCTTGCAAATTAAACTTGCAATACGTGACTTCATGAAGAATAATGAAATTCTTGCATATACAAAAAGTTTAATTATCAAACCATGTATTAAAATGAGCAAATACTCACTGTTTTTTTTTCTATCATCTTCCAACAGATAAGGAGCCCGTGATCTCCTTTATCATCCCAGTGGAGGGAAACGATGCGGAGTTCGCCATTGGCATTGGTCGTCGTGTGGGAATTGTCACCTGGGATGGCAAGTCGGCAACGTCCAAAGTGACTCGTTTGGTTGGTCAGGTGGAGCAAGATGATCACAAGTATAAAACCAATCGCTTCAATGATGGCAAAGCCGATCCCAAAGGACGTTTGTTTGCCGGTAAGCTGAAAACCCTCTTGTTCCTGGAATTTATCACCGTTAAAATTACCAAGAATTCCTCCTCACCAAACTCCTCATTCTCACTTACCAGGCACCATGCAATTGGAGGAGTGCGAAGGCTTCTTAGATGCTCGCCTCGGAGCGCTGTATAAATTCACCAAGGACGGCGAGTTTGACAAGCTGAAGAGCAACATTGGCATCTCCAACGGTCTGGCCTGGAATGAGAAGACCAATAAATTCTACTACATCGACTCATGTGCACTGGACGTGAAGGAGCACTCCTACAATCCCGTCAGCGGAGAAATTAGTATGACTTCCCCACTCGCTAATGCCATTCACAGCAACACACTGATGAGTCCTTCTTCTTGGCAGCAAATCCACGGGTCTTGATAGATTTCAGCGTCAACGGCGAGAGACCCAATTACGTCCCAGACGGCATGACAATCGATTCCGAGGGCAATCTCTATGTGGCTCTGTGGGGCGGCAACAAAGTGCTCAAGGTGTGTCCCAACTCGGGCAAGGTCATTCAGGAAATCGACATTCCAGCCGAACAGGTGACTTCAGCGGCCTTTGGTGGCCCCAATCTCGACATCCTGTATGTCACCACGGCCGCAACTGAGAGGGACCGCCCACAGCCGCCTCCGGCCGGCGGCGTGTTCGCCGTGAAAGGTCTCGGCGTCACGGGAACCAAGATGACACGCGCCAATGTCTGATGACAAGCTGCAATGCATTCTAGAGTTAGACAAATTGTATCAAATGGAATATCCACAACTATTCTATTGATCTTATGACTTTTGCAGAAATTATAGACCATTCTAGAAGTGCGTTTAACACTATGTTTTTTTTTTTATTAATTTTGGGAATGTGAAAAAGAATTTAGTAATTTTATAAAGAAAAACCCGTTTTCCAACTACAGGAAAGCTTTTTTTTTACATCTCTAACAATGAAAACACCCTTTTTGAAGAATGAATTTCAACAAAAAAAGATTATTATATATATATATATAGGAATCCCTTCGAAGCAGGGAATAAAGAACCAATAGAGATTTTAGAAAATATATACCATATCAGTCATACAATGACTGTTTCTCTAATATTGACTCATTAGATTGCGCCTCTTCACAGAAATCTTTCCAGTTAAAGGCGTTTCTCTAATAAATGATAACTGAGTTGAAAGGATAATGGCAAAAGAGAAAAAGTTAGCAGTGATTCAGTGCGGAATATCAGCGTTCGGCGTGTAGGCTCCAGCACCACTCATGTTTCCACAGGCCACCGTGGTGGGAGTCGGTGGAGGTGGGCGAGATGTGAAGTGATACCAATTTCCCGGGGGTCGATTTGGGGTCGTTGCATTCATAAGCGGTGGCGGCTGATACTGGAACTGCGTGGGTGGCGGAATTATGCCATAAGGAGAGACAACCTCACCCCCTATCGGTGCTCCTCCGCCACCCCCTGCGGTAGCACCCCTTCCGCCCGCACCAACTGTCACTTGTCCATTGTGATGCAAGAAATTGCCCATCTCGGTCCCATTGCCACCACCACCACCACCACCGCCACCCATCGGACGAGGTGGCACTGGGGGCAAGATTGTGGGTGGCATTACAGTCACATCCGGGCCAACGCAGGGCTGCATTGGCATCGCCGGAACCACACTGGTCATCGTGGAGGTGTTCGGTGGCGGCAAGATAGAGAACATCGTCATGGGCATTCCTGGAGCACAAGAAAACAAAAAAGACATTGTCTTATCAGTTATCACTCTCTTAAACTGATTTCAAACTCATTTCCACTCACCCTGAGAATTGTTGCACGGCACGCTGCCGTAGCTATTCATCATGGAGTAGTGAGGAGATTCTCCCTCGAGTGGCTGATGACCATGGAAAGGTGGTGGAACGTTGTAGATCGGCTCCTGATTCTCTCCTTTGCTCTTCACGCCATGTGATGGCGATATGTCAGGAAAGGCATTCGCCGGAGGAGACAATTTCTCCTGCTCACCGCTGCTCTTGTTCTGCCCTGCATTTTTCCCATGATTATTGTTTTCACTGTGATATTTTCCATGGTACTGATTGTGTTTCTTCGACACACTCTTTGGCGTTGTTTCCTTGCGATTATGACGCTGATTGTTGCGATTGCCGTGGTGATGTGGCCTCACACCACCCTGATGATAATTATTCGGCGGCGGCAGAATTCCCGGAGAGCTCTGAGGCAATGGTGAAGTGCTGTGTTGAGACTCGGAGAGCTGATCTTGCTGATACTCATCATATCTCGGCGTGAGAGAGTATTGCGTTCTGTCGTATGACTCCTGAAAGTCCTGCGGCGGTGGAAGTCCCTGCAGCTCATACATCCCTGCGATGGCCTGTGGCCATCCACAGTTGCTCTTCAAGAAATTGAAGTACTCAACACCAGCATTGTAGAAAAACTGAACGGTTTGCAAATCATTCAGCGGAAGATCACTGGCATTGGACGCCATGCTGGGCATGACATTGAAATTAACATCGGGAAATAGTGGCCCATCGTAGCGTCTCCCACCGGTGACTTGAGACACGGAGTTTGGAGAGACAGGAGTGTGCATCGGCATGGCCATGGCAGATGATGCTGGCGGTTGGTAGATGGGCATCGGCGGAGCTTGCATCGGCGGCATGGAAGAGCACATGACCACATTCCCGTAGTATGGCTGCATCTGAACACCGTACGGTGGCATCATGTACATGCTCATGGGATCGTAGTTGTAGTAAATCGGCGGATTTACATACTGCATCTCTGGATAATACTCCAGCTCTTCCTCCAAAGGCATCGGCTTCATCTCCTCATACTTGACGGGAGTGCTGGGCTCCTTCTTTCCCTTATTCTCACCATCCGGCGCTTTAGGATTCTCACCGTCTTTCCCGCCACGATTTCCCGTAAGCACTGGCATGGCCAACACCTCCACTGGATATGGCTTGATGTCGCGCATCTTTGTGTACTGCATCAGAGTGTCCCTTTTTCCATCATGGCGTTTCTCGTTCTGCTGATTCTTCAGCGGTACCATCCACGGCTTCCAGTGCCCACTGTTGAGCGGCTGCAGATTGAAGATGGGCACACGATGATGCTCGCCGAGTTCCTCCACAAACACCCCGCACGGCCCATTCTCCGACAACTCCTGAATGTAGCAGCTGTACAGCTCATCCTGGGACATTCGCAACTTCACAGAGCATCGAAGACCCACCCTGAGGAAGCTGCGATCACACCTGCGCATTCGCATCTCCTTCCGGATTTCCGTCCACACATCAAAGTCCACATTGCGATAGATGTAAGGATCGAGAGATTTCGCCACTTTGTATGGAAATGGCGTAATTTGGGCGTTCAGCAGTTGACACACGCATGAAATATCCTTCTGCGGCAGCATCGAAGAGAGCGTGCGAGAACTCGGAACAATCTCCTGCTGATTCTTTCTCTCCTTCTTCTCCAGCTCCAGCTCCCTCTTGACCATCGCCACGAATTCATCAAATTTCGGATTGTGAAAATGACACAAATCCCTGTTGTTCAACACACAATTCGTCGCGTCTGCTGGATCAAAGTAGAACTGGCGAATATCCCCATAATCACGATAATCTCCACACTGCATGCGTGACGGATCCTCAACAATAGATGTGTTCATGCCTGCATGATCGTGCAGCATTCGCTCGACAGCGTAATTGATGTCCGGCAGCTTGAACACCTTTCGGTACAGCACTTCGTAGACGAGAGCCTGGCAGAAAGCCAAATTCTCCATGTAGTCCATGTCATACACGGTGTCGAAGTGGTAATCAGGCGTGAAGAACACTTGGAAGGTCTTCGCGTAATCAGGATTGTAGTCCAGGTAGGTTCCAGCTGAACAATTCTCATGATCATATGCCTCGAAAATCAGAATATTGCGTCTGCACAAAACCAAAAAATGAAACATTGAAGCTCCTGAAAAGTTCACACATCTTTTGGCTTACTTGTAGCGCGCTGCCAGGACTCTCAGCTCCAGGATTCCACCGAAAGTACGCGGCTTGGACAAGTCAATCAGGTAGTTATCGAAGTCCCCATCGACAAAGCGCCTGTAGGACTTTCTGTTGCGTCTCATGTAGGCCACACACTCCTCTCTGATCTCCCAGTGGTACTTCTGTGTGTCGTACAGCTGCTCGGAGATGACTCGAAACAGGTTTGTTGAGTCTCGGCCTGTGTGCTTCCGGTAGTAGCCCATCTTCTCCAGGAATTGATCATGAGGATCCGGCGCCTGGCGACTCCCCGGCGTTACACTCCGTTGCACCATTCTTTAACCTGCAAAGTTAATGGCAGATAAGAGAGTATCTTCCGGATTATCGCACAGATAAAAAGCCATAACGGGATATTCTGCCAAGTTTCGTCCGGTTTTGCTTCGCCATCAATCTAGCAGTATAATTCCCATAAGTTCAAAGTATGCAGGATTCAATGTTTACACTCCACATTAAACTCCCAAGCTTTGGTTTTCCTAAAAGGATTACTGTACAAGGAACAGAAGTTTCCTTCAGAGTCTATCCAGGAAGCCTGGCCTTGGCGTCCATCTTGGGGAAAAACGTGAGAAGCCGGGAAGAATTCTTTTTTCAGTGCAATCACCCGCTAATGTACTTACGCGTGTCTTTTGCAATGCACAAAGTTGAGAGTGCGATAAAACTACACGATTTTTCACACAATCTTGAAAGAAAATCACCTAAAATAAGGGAGAATCGCTAAAATAGTTGCACTGCAAAACTATAAAACTCGAGCTGGAAGTTGATCACGGCCGCAGTACGCCACCTACCATCTCGGCGGAGAAACCGTCCCCAAAAGTGGTGAATATGGAAACTCATCGACGAGCGGCGCATTTCGTTCAAATTTGAAATGGTGAAGAAGATGGAAGATTTGGCAACGAAATTCATAACTCCAATACTTATTTTTAAATGATTTATTGAAGCACCAGAACAATATAATTGATCTGTAATTTAATCATTTCGACATCTAATGCGAAATTCCATCTGTATTGTAATTCCATCGCCAGCAAAACATCAATTTTCGATTCGTTTTCCAAAAGGTATATAATGCAAAAGAATTTTTAAAATTTCGTTCTCTTATTAAAAATATATAGTGACTTATTATGATGAAGAATTAACACAAAAACTGCTACAATATCTCGATCACATATAAATCTATTTAGAAAAATTTTCTCACTTAAATGCTGGTAGAAAAGAGTACAAAAGAATGGGAGGATATACACTCCATTTTCCTTTTTCACTTCAATTATTATACTTGATTTTTCTCTCCATTACAAATATTGTTGATTATTTTTAGTTAATATGTTATATACGACGTAGGATTATGTTGATTAAGTAGTTTTTTTTTTCGTGTAGAAGTTGGTAAAATAAGACATACATGTAGAACACTAAAAGAATACAGTATAATAGAAAGATTACTTGTCTTAAATGCTAAGGAATTAGAGAAAAAACATGGAAAATTATATGGAATACGATCTTCTCACATCAAATTTTAGATCATTATCTCATCGAGGAAAACACAAAGAGAAATGCAATTAGAAAAATCGCTATTAAAATATTTCATATAAAGTTCGATGTAAATTATTTTGATTAATCCGTAATTTCTTCTCTCAAATTTTTATGGACTTTTTCGGTCTTTCACAATGCTTCCTTCGCTCGCGAAGCGCTTACGCCGTTTTCTTCTCCTCCTCGATGATGTCTTTGGTCGGCAATACGTTCTTTTCACACGTCTCAGTGTGCTTCAGCTTGCCCTGGTCGAAGTTCTCAATGCCAGAAATCAACTGCTGCACGCCTTTCTCCTGCTGAATCACTGCAATAAATTCAATTCAATTAGCGCTCGATCCGCACGCTGTTTCTCCACTTCCTCGTCGTCCTCACTCACCTTCCTGGTCGGGCAGTGGGTTCTTCTCTTTGGTCTCGGCGTGCTTCAGTTTGGCCGTGTCAAAAGATTGAATCCCCTTGAAGAGACTCGCCTCTCGCTTCTCAAACTGCACATCTGCAACGCGCAAGAGAGGAACAAAAAATTAATTTAATTAACCGCCCGAAAGAGGTGAAAAGATTCACCATGAATTATGCAGAAAATGTGCACAATTGCAATGTGAAAAGTTTTTGAGTGGAATTTTTTAACCACCGGCAATAGAACGATGAGTATCTCATTTCACGTGAATACCAATTATCATTAGCAATTACATTGTGCTCTCAATCTCAACAGATTACGGAATTGCGTGATTATTGATCATGAATTATTTGGTAGAGAGATGAAGCTTCCTAAAATTCCGCACATTTTCTGCCACATTCCCAGATTCAATGCAAAATTTATCTGACTATTAAGTTATAAAACCACAATATCTCGACCCTAATCTCTCTACTAGGCAAAATATATTCAAATTCATGTTCAGAAACACGGTTAAATTTGTCACCAAATCCACAATTTGACTTCTTAAGCCCCTATTCATAAATTAAGCATTTCTCAATGCAATAGCCGATCAAGATCTCTTGGCGAATAGAGAGGCAAAAACCCACCTTCGGCAGTTGGCATGATGATTTTCTCTTGCGTATTCACATCTTTCATTTTGGTGGTATCGAATGACTCCAGCTCGTTGATGAAGTCCTTGCCCATTGTCGGGTACTCCTTGGTCGATGGGGCCTCCATTGTTAGACTGCAAGAGAGACAGACAAAGCCACAATGTTAAAAATTTTATGATTGAGATCAATTGTGTGACGAACGGCTTCTAGAGTTTTTCATCTTTTTGAATAGAAAGTACACTCGCGCGCGCGCGCAATATTATTTCACTGTTCGGCGTGTGTATATCTCTCTTTTTTGTACATTTCCATTTTCAGAATGAAAAATGCCCGTGACTGGAACTTGTCTGCTCCTTATATGTCTCGCGAAACACTCTCGATCGTGGTGGATCATGGCAAAGAGTGTATATCTCGTGTGACAATTATCGGGGGTAAACCTCTCACTGATTTTTACGATCTTCAATCGTGCGATAGTCCGCTAAATTATATCTTATGCCCCGCATTCTCATATTAATTGCTCCCTCGCAATTTAGGATGGCGGAGCGCCGATGGGAGATTGCGGTGTGAGCATGAGTGCCATTAGAGCATCATTGTATTGAATTTTTAATTGTTAAATGGCAATTTGAGAGACAGGCGGAGAGAGGGTTAAAAATCTCATTAAATTCTCACAACTTCAAGCATCACGAGCAGGTTCATGATTCATCATTAAGAACTCACACTTTTTTTGCTCATCAATTAGGCTCCAAAAAATCCCCCCACAATTGCAACTGATAAAAAGCCCGCGTATCGATGGAAAGTGGAGATTAAACGCAAGATTATTAACTTCCTCAGTCTGCAACTCTTCTCGCCAGTGCTCAAATTTACGACACAGACTACTTAACTGTTCATAATCTGCTCAAGAGAAGCTACTCTGGAAGTGGGATGTGCTTACGTGTTCCAGCCAAAAGACTTCAAAATCTTGTCTTTCTGTATTGGATGTGAGAATCATTGGTGCATTACTACACACAGAAGTGTTCTCTCGACTTCTTGCTCAGTCGCACGTGCCATTCAACATTGCCTTAATACCGCAGTCATGATGAGAAATTGCGAAATTTTCGCACTGATCCAAAGCAATTTTGTGTAATTGCTGAATTCTAAGCGGGGCGTCTTTCAAAGTCACTCTGTAATCTCTTAATTGACAATAGCAAAGAAAAGAAACAGATTCCATGGTCGATAAAAGCATTCGACAAAGATTCCGCACACATTTTCCACTTCTGTCTGAAGTGCGCGAACTATATCAAATCAGTGCGAATTGTTTAATACCCCATCAACAGCATAAAATTACAAGTCGAGATCATGCGTTTCGCGCTATAAATTAATTCTTTTGCCATTGGAGCATTAAATGCAGTAGAATTCCCTCCTTCACTGACTCCCAACTACACGTTTATGCCCGCGGGAGTCTTCAGCAACGCCCTAGTGTCTTGACGAAAAGAGACTAACGGACCAGAGAGACAGTGAGTCACGGGCAATTTCGAAGGAAGGGTGAACCCTAACCAGTTGCCCAGATCCCAACTATTTCTGTTCACTCTCTCTGTCTTGCTGTCGGGGGAAAATGTTGTTTTTCCTCAGCCGCCACAACGCCCAACATTTGTATTGATTGGAGACACAGTCGCACGCAATCTGTCTGAGCCCATGAGGATGTTATTGTGGGATTAAGGAGGAAAACAGCCACCGAAATCAGAGTCTGTGTTGCATCAAATTTCTTTCCTCCTTTCTTCGCTCTCACCCTCGCGGTGCTCTCCTCCTCCTCATTGGGACAGGAAAAAAGAATTGTTGAGAGCCAACAAGGCAAGTTCAAGTTCAATGCCACATCAAATCAAACACGCAGAAGCGGAAAAAGAGATAAAGCGTCCACCCGAGCACAAAACGACTACCAGCCAAAATTCTCCTATTATTTGAGCTCACCATGGCCAATAAGAGTGGCTTAAATTGCACTGAAATCACTCTTGTTTAGAATTGATTTAAACTAAATTGAAAGCACATGCTTAGCAGGCACTGTCGCGCAAATTATATTCTGAAATTATAATTTTGTGTTTTTTATTACACATTTTGATTTATGGTTTAGTTTAGATTGTGGCGGAGAAACACAAGAGGAGTGGAGTGTGTGTAAAAAGAGAAAAGAATCATTCTCTCCCACGCCATGGCAATTTCTTCTTCTTCCATCCATCCTACACCACCAGTTTCGAGCACACCATTGTACCACACTCATATGCGACCACAGCAGAGCAGAAAACAGCCAGTTTGGTTCATCTGCAAGGGAGCCAGAGTGGCAACACGACGGAATGAGCGATTGAGAGATAAAGTATAAACAATTAAATTGTCTAATGACAATTGTCCACAAAATTCTGGCCACACATTTTGAGTGAAAAAAGACAAACACTCTGATGAGAAAAATAATACCGTTTTAATGGTACTTTATTAGCGATGGAGTGATGAAAAAAAATTGTACCAACAGATACATTGTACGGAAATATTCTTGAGTCACTTTTCTCTCTCTTTCTCTCACTCTGCAAAGGTGCACACGCTTCATGCTTCGGGTATTAAATAAACAGATTAATTAAATAAAGGCAAGTTGAGCGATTACGGATTTTTTTAGGTCTCCAGAAAGCACACCCGATAGCTTAGGTAAAGCTGACGTGTTACTGATATAAAATGGTAATGGTTCACATACAAAAATGCAAACACATTGCCAGGCTTTATCAAAACACGCTTTTTTTTTGCACCGTGCATATATTTACAACAAGAGATATGCCAAAAAATTATTGTGCATAGCCAGCAATCTCGCAGGGCAAATTTTAAGATTACTTCACGTACAACTTTGCAACTTGTCTACTCCCATTTTTGCTTTGTTACACTTCCTCCAAACCAAAGTCATAAATACAGCGCGAAAAAAGTCTTGTAGTTTGTTTCTTACGACGGGACAGACGTTGGCTAAATGAGACTCTGTGTGAAAATAAAATTCATAAATTGAAAAGTGAGAGAAAGACCGAAGAAGCACAGCGTTCTCGGCACAAATTAACATTCCAGCTGCTTTCTGGAAGAAAATACCACTATGACTCATTTGGAATTCAATTCTTTGTCATTTTTTTTCACTATCCATACACATTTTTTGGGCTTCTTTTTTCTACATTTCTTTCATACAAACACACAAATGTGCGCTTGACACTCTTAAAAATCAGCACACATTTTTTCCAACTTTCTGATACAAATTCTCTTAATTCTTCAACCCAATCAACTACTCTGCATTTTTCACAAATAGTTAAGATCGTCAGAATAAATATTGAATTATACGTGAACAAACCATAAACAATAGCATTCATTGCGCCTAACGCCAAATATTTATCTTTAACATTCCACTTGAATTGTCACTCTCTTTCGCATTCAACCAAAAGACAAAAAAAAATCTGGATATCGATGAGCTTTTCTCTTCTTCCCCAGGGAAATGCATTTGCATTTCGCCTGTGATCATTTGATCGCAACGGGATCACAAGTGCGATTTTTTTCTGTTCATTCTCTTGGCCTCAATTTTAATGCCTTTTAAAAGCAAACAGAGACACGACAATCCAACTAAGAGTTGACCAATACAGTCACTGAAACACCGTGAAATCTCATCCCAAATATGGTGATCATGGTTGGAATTAAAAAAGCCGTCTCACACAGATCGAGACTCTGACGTCCACCATTCGGAGGTACATTTTCGAAAAAATCACACGAAAATGTGATTGCAAATTGCGCGACAGTGTCGAACGTCTTTCATCTGCAAGAGAAACCCAAGATGCACCGGGAAAAGTGGACACTTTGTCACCCAACGCGTGATATTTGAGAGCAAATCTCACCTCAGCTTGCAACCATATGTGCAGGCAGAGAAAGAGAATGAGAAAAAAAAACACAATCCAATGCTACGACCTACAAAGGCACAATTGCAAATATCCTTGACCAATGTGGAGAGACATCATGAACACACATCATTTGTCTCCTTCTCCAGAGAAGACGTCGTGATCTATAAATTCCAATATTGGCGTGAAAATATTCAATTGTCTCTCTACGGATTTCTTCCCTCTTCGCGCATCGCATATGCAAACTCTGTGCGCGCTCGAGATCTTGATTGTGACTCATCCTCGCAATGTGAAATTATTGCGACTCTGGCAAAATAGTTGCTCTTCTCAAATACATGGCAAAAAGTTCTCCACTATAAGCGAGCAATCAATAGAGGGAAAAATCATAGTGAAGAAGTCTCTCATTCGTACTGTGATTCTGCATAAAATGATGAAAAAGAAAAGAAAAAAACATCCAGATGGAACTCGCTAAGCAACTTTTTGCGCAAATACCCAACTTGGCTCATAAGAAAACTATTCGCGGAGTTTAAGAAAAACCGAATTTTCTCCCAGATCTCGCGACACTCAAGCACGCATTTTCTATCATCACCGACAAAGAGCCCGACGATAAGACATCCGGTCACAGTTAAAGTCAACTTCAATCTCATAAAAATCGTACAACACCCACTTCTTCTTCTTCTTCTCCTCCTTTCATGCTTATCAATGCCTCTCGCCAAATTAATCGCACAGGGGCAAATTTAGCAATCAATAAAATATTCATCCATAACTGCGAAAATAGGAGAGAAAGTCGCAATTGAAGGAATATAATGTTTGTCTTTATCACAATTTATGGCTTTTGGAGAGAAGAAAGAGTGAATTCAGTGAGTCAAACAATAAATCCCAATATTGAAACAGCCAGACGCTTTCCTATAGATTACTCACTAGAGAGAACTTTATCACAAAGCTTAGATTATGCATTTTGTGATAAAGCCGTGGCGGAAATGTTGGAATAATGACGATCAAATCACCCATTATTATTATTTATTCGTCACGATCGATACTTGATATTTGATCTATTTAATCAGTTGAGCAACATTTTAAAGTGTGAATCAATTGATTTTGAGGTCTTTTTTATACAATGCATTTTAAAAGAGCTTTTTTAATTTGAGAAGAGCTGAATGTGAAGTATGAAATGTGGAAAAACCTAGCGAATTTCTGATAAAATGTTTCAAATAAATTATCTTTAATTTCATGCATAAATTTTCCTCTCATGCTAATTACATTAAGACCGCAGGTGCAAACGAAGGTATTGATTTGAAACGTGCCACTCAGTATTATCGATAGGCAGAGTTTCAGGGATATTTTCACACATTTCACTGTCACTGCCAGCCTAATAGGGATTTTCTTGTCGTAGTGCTCGTTCGCGCCCCTCACTGCCATTGCCAATACCCGTCGTGCAGGCTCGATGGATGAGGAAATTATTGATTTACCCTCTTCTTCAGCTGGAACCAGTTGCTACATTCGCCACTCTTGGGCCTCTCTTCTCACCGACAATCCCCGGGAAATCCCTTTGCTGAGCTCAGACGCTCATTTTCACTTTTTACTATCTCATATTTTTGCCACAAACTGAGCAGCTGCAGCGCCTTGGAAGTACTTTTGGCACTTTACAATGAGCTGTAAAAAGGGGCGAAGCGCATCACATCTTATTGGCTAAATTGATTTTGCAGACATATCGTCAAATGAGAGTCGCTCTTGTGCAGCACAGCGAGAAAACACGGATTTTTCAGAGCTGTGCATTAATTATGCTCAATGCTCACATGCCGCTGAGACATCCAAATGGAATCTTTCGATAGCGGTTCATTAAACTAGATTCTCTCTTTCTGTGCATAGTGCGAACCTGGCGAGCTCGAACACCCCGATTAGCATGCAAGACTGGGAGCTTCCTCTCCAGCCGAAAGCCCATCCTTGTGCCCATACAAATGACCCTCTCTTCTCGCGCTGGGACTTGTGGGTGACCTTCTCACGACACGAGAAGCCAGTCTCCATTGATGATGGCATTTTTAGCCGGTCGAGACGCCGCCGCCGCCCAACTCTTCGAAAACGCCAATCCGGTTTACCATCAAAACACCCTCCATGGCTTTTCGTCGCATTTCCTCCTCTCCGCACTGCATTTCCCTCTTCATATCATATCCCAAATTGCCAACGCTGAGTATCAATTTTTCCATCAACTCAGCGACCGGTCAATGGCACTTCCTCGCCATTGCTGGCTGTCTTTTTCTTCCTCCACATTCACAATTTCTGTGCGACTTTCGCAACACCCCGAACATCTGCTGCATATTTTGCACGGAAATACACACAAATATTCCTCTCGCAGCCCTAAACTTTCACCCAAAACCCCCCTGCCATCCTGACAAATGTTCCTCCCCATCATTCGCGAAGGCCGCACGCCAAGTGATCCCGGAAAAGATAAGATGAAAATGACGCTGAGGACTTACCTCTCTCGGTAAAGTATCTCAAAAAAGCTGGTACAAAAAACTGTTCTCGATCACACGACGCTCTTGGCACTGAGATATCTCTTCGCTGGCGCTCCGCGTACAACTGACTGTGAAAAGTGGCCGGAGAACCGGCTGAAAGTCGATTGGCTACCGCGGATACCAACTCGCATGCCACTCTCTCTCACTGGCAAGTGATGCACTTGCATCATGGCCGACATCGCGCTCTTTCAAACCCACGAAATGTCGTTCAGTAAAACACTGGCAATGAGGCTGTAAAGAAATTTTCTTTTATTATTCGTCTGTCCTGAAAATGTTCATTTTTTTTCTCTCTCTCTCTCAGCATTAACGTCATCTTTTCTTTTGCATGCTATGATGATTTTTTCAGCAATGGAATTTTTTTGCCAGTGATGGAAAAACGTTATAAATCGTAAAATCATGATTTACAGTGTAGTAAATATAAGTTTTTTTTTCTCTTCTTTAGAATAGAAACAAGCCCATAAAACCTATTTCTTATAAATTTTCAGGTGTCACGAGGTCCAAAGATCCATAACTCCAACCCAATTCAATTTTTAACTCTTCTGTCTAAAGTAACATATGTATATATGTACATTTATATCAAACCTATCTAATATAATGTAAACTTCTTAAAATTGCATTTTTGATTCAATCATAAATTTTATGACTTTAGCGTTTGTTAGTTAGATGAAGAAAAAAATGAAGAAGTTATATAGCGAAAGAAAGGAACGATAAAAGCAATTCAATTAGCGCTAAACACGTATCCATCCATACTGTCGTTTTCGCCGAGTTCTTCCACCTTCATTCTTCTTCTCTTTCTTTCTCTCTCTCTCTGAATTCCTCTTTCACGTCCGCAACAATTATTTTATTTAAAACCACTAATATATATTCCCGGGCTACAGCACCTCTCTTTCTCATATTTCATTCAGAAACACCTCCCCACCCCCCAAAAAGAAACACACCCAATTAACCTGATGATGGCGCTAGTGAACGAACAGCCTGAGTACGTTCTTGACCTTAGAATTGCAAATGGGGCATCTCTTGTGCTTATTCCACGCCTTCTTGGCGCACTTGTAGCAGCAGCACAGATGGAGGAAACTACTGTGCACGAAGACACCGTCCTTCGGCTCCTTCAGGCACATCATACACGGCTCATCCAGTGGATTACTGCTGCCGCTCAGCTCCTTGGCACGCGCCAGATCCAAATCCTCGCAGATTGCCGTCTCTTGGCTTTCCGGCAGTATCGTTGTGGGTGATAGTGACGATAGATCCTGACTCGAGGCGCAGGATTGCACACCAGACTCCTCAGGCTCATTATCCCAGACGTTCTTGAAGAACTTATTCTCATATCTCGCCCTCTTGCACACATCATCCTCCTCATCCTCCAGGATGTCCACTGAACTCCTACTCGATCGTCTCTTGCGATCGCCGAGACTAGAATTCACCCCCGCCCCACCGGACCTCGTGACCCCGCCGCCATCCTTCGCCGCCTCCTCCTCCTCATCGCTCTCTGGCGTCTCACCGGCACTGTTGGCCACACACTCCTGCCGACTCACGAGGCACCTGCGACCCTTAACACTACCTTTACCATCTGGCTCAGTCTCACGGCGCCGATCCTTGATCTCGCCCATGTCAGCCTCGTCATCCGACGCCGATGAACTCCTGGCACCGCGCAGACTCCTCCGGCGATCTTTGGTCCTCCTCTTCGTGCGCTTCCTGCGGCGCTTCGGGCGCGGTGGAAAGTAATCTTTCCGTGTCTGCAAAAGACATGCGAATCACATTTAGAAAAAAAATTGTCTTTAAATAGCGCCAAATCTGCAACAGAATTGAGGATGAAGAAAGCGTTTAAAGCTACTCATGAATCTGAGGATGAACTGAGAGGCTATAAATTAATTTACAGACACTCCTATTTATTCCCAAATACCCAAACATTGTAAGCATCTGAAGATTAAGTATATTGTCTCAATTCACCCTCACAATATGTGCTCAGCTTCATATAGTGTTCGCTAGCATAATTAAAACTAAAATGTCCCACTTAAGTAAGACATCTTATTTATTTACAAAAAGTATCTACTTCAATTTCTACTGCAATTTTTAAGCAATTAATCAATTTTGTCATGCTCTTATTATTATTTATAGACGAATAGAGAAAGAGATTTTCTTATCGCACTTTTCTTTGTCATCAGACAAATTCACGCCATCCATAAAATATTCCCGTGCCCACGATCAGTGTTTAAACTTACCCAAATATCTTAAATAAACTTGAGAGGATTTCTTACAACTTATCAAAATTGCAACGATCAAAACTGTTAATGTTAAGAGAGACGCTCTAGTTGATAAACTAAGATGACACTCTGCCAATGTGTGTTTCTTCACTGCTGCAAGAAATGTATATTTCTGACGCTCTGCTTTAATATTGCTGCATGAAACTTTGTTGAAACTTTATCATGATGAACACGCGTTCTTACAATGCAAACTCTTCTTATAATGCAAATTTTACACCTACAAAAATAAATTTACAAAATGCTTTTTAGAAATCAAGATCACAAAACAAAAATCAATAATCCGCATCTGTAATCAATTGTATAATTGCTTTAGTTTTTCTCTTGTCCTTTTCTTATCTTTTGTGTGTTTCTGTTTTCTTTGCTGTCTTTTGTGTTTTCTGTTTTCTTTTCATTTCTTCATCCCTTGTTTTTTTCTTTGTTTCTTTTGTTTTTCATTATTACCTTTTAGCACTCTTCTTTTTTTTAAGGTAATTGTGTGTATTTTTCTATGACTTTTTTCATCTTTTAGTTTAGATATTTGTTTGTTTTCTTTTCTTCTTTTTGTCTTTTTTGTTCTTATTTTATTTGTTATTTTTCTTTACTGTTTTTGTTTCTTTTCTCATGACATTTTAAGTGTTTTACAATAGAATTCTAATTGTTTCCCACTTTTGCCTACATGCAGCAGAGATTCCTAGGAAGAAAAAGTTGCAAAAGTCATAGTTTATTGACGTGAAATAGTCGTTACACCTGTAACAAGACAGGCTAATCTGTTGGTGTATGTTCAGGCTGTTTTTCCGTTATATTTACTACCAGAAAACTACTACTTTTGACAAATTAAATCCTCTCTTACGCTTTGTCACAGATTTAATAGTTGCCTTTTTCAATCCCTTTGAAATACTCAAATTGAACCACTTTAATCACAGCTAAATTCATCTTATATTATTTTGTTCCATAACTTTTCTTGTTCTTTATCTTAAATCTCATGTAAAAATATTAGTAATTCATCACTAAACAGTCAATAAATCAATCATCATATTGGAAATGTGAGATGAAATGTTCATGTTCATATGCATAGCTTTCTATTATGTGCTCAATTTTAGGTCATTAACACCGAAACAACAGTTCGGCACTATTCTGTCCAGACTCTCAGAACATTACTCAAGGTTATGAAATGCCTCAAAGCAGCACTTTTCTGCATAAAGCAAAAATGCAAACAAACAAATGGGACTCTTTTGCAAATAGAGACTCTCTTTGACTTCCTCTGTGTGAAGCAAATAAACCCCATCGTTTCGGCCGGCGCCTTTCTCGGCCAATTCTCGAGAGTGCGGAGGCAGAGAGAGACTCTCGTGATGGGTCATTGAATGCCACTTTCATCCAGCCAATATCAATTGATACAGCCACCAATCCATTAAATTCAGCGTATGGCCACTCTGGGCAAACACACATCGAGTCACACTCCACGTGATGTCAATGGCAATTGGCCCGGTGACGACATCCAACAAGTCGCAACATGTTAGCACCGGAGACGTGCGCGTCTCGGGCGTGAGATGCAAATTAGCGCGCATGAACTTACCCGATAGCATTTCTCACAGTAGCGATACAGCGGATTGTTCTGCTTGTTTTTGCACTTGACGCACTCCCAGTAATCGGCGCGGTTAATCTCAGGATCTGTGGCACTGTCATCGGACGCCTCGGTGTCTGCGAAGATGGCAAAGTCACTCCCGGAGATGCTGTCATCGATCAGGCTGGTCAGGGCGGCAATCACGACATCCTGGACGGAAAGGAAGCAACATTTTCCATGAGCTCGACAGTCCTGGGCCGCGTGCAGACGGCAACTTACGTGTTCAGACCCACTGGAGGAGTCATCGGAGTAGAGATTGTTTTCGGAACTGCTGTCCGTGGCCACTTCGTACTCCAGCACTGCGATGGTCTCATCTCCGCTCGTCTCCGTGTCACTGGTGTCCCGGCACACGTCTGTGGGTGGAAGAAACATCGTGAGAAAGGGATTTTGTGTCACTTCTTCGAAGGCTCGCGGTGCCGATTTTCGGCCAAAAGTGTCAGCGGAGAACATTTCCCAAAAAAGGGGAAGTCCATGGCCATCTCTTCTCCTTGCCGGAGCACGCTTTCTCAACCGGCCGCCACGAGGGGGGTCGCTGGTGGTCGCCACTGCGCATGTGTTGGCATGTATAAAAATGGCCGCTGGAGGAGAAACTGGACCAAAACGATCGCACTCTTTGTACCTGTTTCACGTCCATGGAAGCTGTCGTATGTTGCGTCGTCGTCAGACCTCACGCACTCCCGCGGACTCTCTTTCGCGAGTGTTATGTAGAACTTGGGCGTTTGGTACTCCTCAGAGAAGCCCTCGTCATCCCGATGTTTGCGCTTCATGCCACTCATGTCAAATTCTACGGAAAAAAGATAATGGCGCTTAATGGGAAATTCACCAACAATGGCTTCCACTGCCTTCAGACCACCCCAAGCACACTTTTCACACCGCCCCACAGCACATACCTTGCGTTTCCCGGCTCACTACACTCATTTTTGCACGCGTCAACGATCAAATTCGCGAGTTGATTAAAAACTTTTACCGCACCTGAGGCTTTTCTTCACTATTTAAAGCTGGAAATTATCCACGTTTCTCCTCCACTCCAGAGCTCCGAATTAAGTTGTGACATCAATGGCCGCCGACTACCGCCACCTGGCGTTCGATGGCGGCGAAGGGGCAAAATGTTTATCCAAGACGAGGGGAAAGTTCCCATCATCCCCACTTTGGCGGCAAATTCACCACCGCCGTCGAACTCACCATTCTCCTCACTTCCAGCGATTGCAGAGCGCGGCGAAGGTGTCGCGCGTAGAAAACACTGATAAAAATGGATTTCAATACGCCTCTTATCTTGAGGGGAAGGACCAGAAAAAAGTGAAATGCGGGTAGATTTGAAAAAGACGGAAACGGTTACAACAAAAAGGCTGTATTTGCACATTAAAACTCCACCGAATTCTACAATTCATCATTTTTTATCTCCTTTCAATCTCTTTCACGGTCTTGTCATACAATGTCCTGCCTTCAGCAATGTATCACAATCACAAAATATAACTTAAACATCTGCAACTTGTCTTACAAAAAACAGTTTCACAAACAACATTTTATCTCTTTCGTCTCTCAAAAATCAGCTACAGCGCTCTTTTTTTCCAGGAGGATCTCAAAGTGTTATCGCAAAAGAAAACGCATCAGGCAAATCATTTATTCCGCCATTGACTCAACCCTCTTCGCTCCTTTTCTCTAATGCATAAGAATTACCGGAAGACACAATAGAACTTGATCATTTCATCCTGTCGTGCCAGGATGAATTTTCCCACAAAACTCAAATGATGACACAGAAAAGAAAACTCGCATGACGAGTTTTGTATTCATTTTAGTTCTTGACTTAGAATCGTGAAGCGACTAGAAAAAAATAACAGATCGATAAGCGAATGTTAGTTAACGAAGAGTGACAAAATTGAGAAATAATGCACTTTTCAATTCAATCCTTATGGTAACTCATGCTGCTGGTAATTATTGTCTTCCATTGCCATTTGGTTTTTTTTCTCAAAATTTTTCAAATTTGCTCCTAATCTTACGAGAAAGAAAAAAATCTTCAGTGGCGAGCAAAGAAACATTTCTTGCATTGTCTTTTGAGAGAAGAAAAATAACAGATTTCATTCATTAACAACTTTTCTTCGTGTGTGACAAATCAATGGATTTTTTTCTGAAGCAATTCCATGGAAATCGTGCTGGAATTTCTAGAGCTTTTTCTTGCTTAATTATTTCACTAACTCTTTTTCTCACTATCAAATAAATTTTTACCTAATTTGGAATGAAAGTTGTTTTTTTTTTCTTTATTATCTCAGTTTTATATAATAACGCCGTGACAGAATGCCAGCTTGTGTCATAACGTGAAATTGCGCTCTTAAATATTTTGCCTCGAAAGTATTTCCATGAGAATTGCTTCCTTTACTTTTGTACAAAATAAAAAAAAAACTAGAGAGAATTCATCGCGTCGATGAAGGAAAGATTAAGTTCACTCAAAATCATCTATCTAAATATTCAAGGTGGTTGGGGGAATTTTTCATAAAAGATCTTCGTGTTACTTTTCTTTGTTTTCGGAGAGATATGTCACTTTTCTTTTGTCACAGAAATTTGACTGAAGACGAAAAATCACCTACAGAAGGACAAATTTCTGGAAATGCTCTTAGAAGCTCCAAAAGTTGGCTTGTCAGTTATTTAGGATGGGAGAAAAACTAATTGCAACGCGATCAAACGATGGGATTTGTTGAAACTTCTATACTGGCCATTATTACAAAGTTATATGTACACTTTCTATGTCACTATTCTTCTATCTATTTTGATATAACAACGTAAAACCCCATTCTCTGACTGACTCTTGTTAATCATATATAGGAAAAGAGAGAGACAAATAAACCAAGAAATCCATCAACAATGATATACTGCCATTTTTTCTACTCTACTTTTGTCATATTTCTTATGCTGTCTGTTTTTCTGTTTCATCCCATTTCAACGACTGTGACTAATTTTACATATTTCTTCATATTCTTCTTCTTTCTAATAAAAATATTCAATGTACTCTTCTCGAAATGTCCTCTAGTAACCATTTAAATGTCCATTGCGCACGAGGAGTTTTCCTCATATTTTACACAATGTTTGATTTGAAACCACAGATATATTTTAACGAGTTTTCTCAGTTTGTCTTCTTTAGTACATTTTATCCACCATACTTTTATCTAATGATTAAGTGTCTCTTCTATCAATATTCTCTATTACTTATAATATTTACACTTTTATCATTTATCAATAATCTCACACTTTGACAGTGATTTTGCGCGTGTGCCAGAAAGTGTTTGTAAGATTAAAATCATCAGGATTTCCCTCCGTATCTCGCGTGATATGCAAAAATTGAGAAGATAGTTTTGATTGTGCATTGAAATTGTACAATTTATATGTCTTGTTTTGGGAGGATATGCGAAGATATCAAGTGAGAGATGCAACATTTACACTGTTCACAAGGAAGATACACTGCTAAAGAATGCTACACAAAGCTCATGGCATTTTGGCCCGAACGGTTTCTCAAGTTTCTTCACACTTAAGGCCACGCCTTCTATTGATTTATCTGATAAATATTACCCTTTGATTGGTGTTTTCTCTTCAGCTACAAGCAATAAAATATGGTCTTTTGTGAATCTAACAAGTGAGAAATGTATATAATCAAAGTATTAAGATAATATACACATTATGGGCGGGCCTTTCAAGTGGGCGGGATTTCGAGGATACGGAATATTTAAAACTTTGCGACAAAAATAGGGAAAGAACTTGCATTTGACGGTGCATTTCTAAAGGGAACTTTGTCATTATATCACATTGTTTTACAAAATACTTTTCATCCTCATCTGATATTTCTCCCTCATAATTCTCTCTTCAGTGGGTATTTTCACAAATCGCTTCAATTTCACTTTTAACAATAGATTATCCACTTATTAGTTTTCTCTGCGTTTTCTGGCATATTTTACTTGTATTTACAAATGCTCTTTTGGATTTATGAATTTTGAGAGTTCAGTGAACTTTCCTTCAACGAAACGATGCTCTATGAAAGAATGCTATTTATCTCCGGTGCAAAGAAAATCTTATCTTTTCAAAGCCTCAAATATTCTCCCATTTTTTTTTTTTAGAACTTTGATACAATATATATCTTTCTCTCTCTTGTATTTAAAAGTGCTATTTTTTTGTTTGATCATGTCAGCTTCATCGCCGCTTTGTCCCCTACAAATGTATGGTATTTTTCTCTCTTTTTTTCTTCCTCTAAATATAATTTCTCTGCATATGTAATTATTACCTCTTTTCTCATAATAGATGCCTATAAGTATTTTTTTCTCTCACATTTTTTCTCCACTTTTAAAGACTTTTACATCTACAAACTAATTTATCAACTTTCTTTGTTATATCATGGGTTTTTCTTCCCCATGATTTATCTTTTTTTTGTATATTTACATAAAAAAAGAACGAATATATTTAGACTGTCTCGACCCAAGCGTGAGGGAGTGTGTGTTTTCTTCTGAAGAAAATGCACCACAGCTTGAGATACAATTATTGTATTAACTTTCAATATTTTTTTTCTTTACTCCTCTATATATATATATAATTTCTGTCCATCTCATTTAGTGATCATCATTTTTTTTCTGATAAAAACTATGCAATACAGTTTATAAATCTATATATATATATGTGTGTATATATATTGTAGGTATATTATTTCTCTTCATCTCAATCGTCATCATCATCATAATAATTGATTTATGGGTCTCCCAAAGGGGTGATCCACGTGTACCGTATTAGCGACAATTTCTACTCTTTTTTTTCCTTCCATTAGATATTTTTTTTCTCAATAATTTCTTCATCATTTCATAAAGATTCTTTTTATTAATCAATAGGTTTTTTTTATTTAATTTCTTTGACTAATAGACCGAGAAGAGATATTTCCTATCCAATATATTTTTTTCCACCATTTCTTCCTTTATAATAATATAGTTTCTCATAAGATTTCTAATTAAAATTGACAGGTAAAAATTATAAGATACTCTATGTAATTTCTCATACATCATTACATATCGTAATCTCCTCTCCTTTGCGCTACAATCTCCGCATCGCGACTAAATCGGGAGCCTTTAGCAAAAAATTGAAGATGCCTCGCCGTGTCTTCGCCTGTTGCATTTGTTCAGCAAGCAGACAGGATGAGTGGGAGGGGAGTTGAACTATTTTTCTTTTAAATCTTGTTTCTTTTGTCGTGTGTTCTTGCAAATGGGTTAAATGGAGCAAATTTTGTTTACACCTAATGGTACATGTGTTGTTCTCCTTATAATTGATACCACTTCTTATCCTTGTACTTTAGCATAAGAGAATGTGCGGTGCCACTAAATTCTTGTGCTTGGTTGGCCATCCGTTCGGTTCGCTCCTCCAGCTGACTCAGCTTATCGCCGCGCTCCATGGCCAGTTGGTGGGCGCGACTAATCTCTGATGTGGCTGTGCTAGCGCGCGCCCCCAATGCCTCCAGATTGGCACTCGGTCCCGGAATGTGTTTCGCCACTGAACGATTCGCCTTTCCGCTCGACTCCCCAACTGCAATAAGTCAGAGACACTCTCAATAAGACAACCGCTCTAGGCACGCTCTAGCCTAGACCACCCAGACTTACAGAGTTCTTCGCGATCTAGACTGCGAGATCCACCACCAAATAAGCCCTTGAAGAAGCTCTCTTTAGGCGGCTCAGGCATGTCATGTGCCTGGAATAGCTCACACATCATCTCATTTGTGAATTGAGTACTAGAAAAAGAGCAAAAAAAAGGTTGAATTTAACTCGATTTTAACATTGTGCCCCAAAGCAAATCCATTCATTATGAATGGCGATGCACATTTTGCCTGGAAACTTGCAGATGTGCATTGAACTAATGTAAAATTCACGAAATTGAGGACAGATTAACCCCTCAAATGGATGGGAAAAAATTCAATTGTGGCACTTTTCAATAGAGTTTATGCATTTTGTACAAAACTGAATGATTAAACAATTTTTATCGCTTCAATGGCCATTGACACGCACTTCCGAATTAAACTCATGCTTTCATTGTTGCATTGAATTGGACATTTTATCTGTAACAACTGGTTTTACATTGCTTTTAATTAGCTCGTCACTTTTGATTTCATTTTTAATAAAATACACAAGCTGCAAGAAAGCATCAGAACAATCACTCACCAAAAGTCGACACACAAAGTGAATTTCTGCAATTCGGTGGGTGTTGCCAAGTACAACCCATGGCCCTTATTGCTCAAGCAGAATGCCTTGGAAATCCTGCAAAAAGTCAATGCTGTGTTAGTCCTTAACTAGAAGAGACACAATTCTCAGTCGCGCAAATGACATTAATCCAATATATATATTGTATACAACAGAAAGGAAAAATGCACACAGAATACTTAAAGAAGTTCCTGTTGAACAAACGACAAAGAAAGGAATGAAATTTCATAAATGTTAAAAGCTTTCTTCTGTCATCTTTCTCACAACAAAAACATGTTTAAATAATATGTTTCTATTAATTATCGTACTTTTCCTAATGTTCTCATCTTTTTTCTCATATTCATTGCATGAAACATTGAATGAAAGGAAGTCAATTGAATTGTGGCATGCAATTAAATCAATTGATATAATTCAAAAATTCGGTAAATTTCCAGAAAATAGAGAGAAAGAGAGAGATAAATGAGAGAAAGACAGAATGAGAGAATTATCCATAAAAAAGGAGAAAATGAAAGAATGAAAGGCAAAACTATTTCAATATATATATATATATTTTCACATGCTTTTGTGCTGCCATTGAGAAAAGTTGAGAATAGATTTATGAAACGGTGCAGCAAAAGCAGAGATTGAGTTTTTATTTATTCCATTTTATTTATGATCAATGTAGTTGTTTTTAAGTCATCAATCACGTTACGATAGTGCAAATGATTTTTCAACATACAATGCTTCATCTAAAGTCAAATTAATGCATCGCTGATTTAGTAGCTGTCTTGCCTTTTCAGTTTCTTTTTTTTCAATTAGAGTCATTCTTACGGCTCAATTCACCAATAATTGTACTTTGGAGATTTTGTTCTGTATTCTCTACACTCATTTGAAAAATCTATTGTCTTCTGCAGATCTTTTTGTTTTCGTTTAGCTCAAATTGTCTATGAAGAGTAATTGTATTTTTTTGTTTCTTATTTTTTGGAAGGAGTGGAAGATGGGTTGTGTAATACAAAAAATATACAATTAGAGTTGGAAGATTAATAAATATTAGTTGGTTTATATAATCCTTATATCGTATATAATATATTGTCTTATTGTAAGAAAAATATCTATAGAACAGGTTTTTCCACAACTTACTGGTTAGTATCCTCGTGGACAATTAGTTGCTGACCCCATATTGAGAGCATTGGATCTACAATTCCTTGCTTACATTTTGTCTGAAAGCTATACACAACATGTTGAAAGAAAAACAAACACCTCCAAAAATTGTAGAGAACCCATAAAATTGTCATTAGAGAAAAAAGAGATAAGGGTATGTACACACAGGAGGAATTTTTGTGGAGTTTTTCATTGACTATACAAGGGAATTATTTTGTAAAATTCCTATATCTCTCAAATACAGAGTCTTCAAATGCTATTTGTTAGAAATCTGTAGTCAAAATGTCTACAAGTAGTTGACATTAATCGTCTCTAGAATTTTACGTTTCTACAAACCACTGCTATGATGCTACTGAGAGTCTGATACAATATATAACTCAAGATTAAAAAAAAACTACAACCGAAGTCAAGATGTTCATCTGGAAACGCCCCCATAGAAGCTCCGCCCACTTCTTCACCGACGTCATCAGTAGCAACTTAACAGTGTTCTATTGGAAACGCGACCTAAGCTATCAAATTAGTATTGTAAGAAAGAATTTTGTGAGCTATTTACACAGACCTTCACGTAAACTATTTTCAATGTCTGTGAATTACACTTAAACATAACTTCTCGTCATATCGAAGATTTGTCGAATTTTGTTGAAATTTTGTTGATTTAGAAGGTGTTTAGATTTGTTATTCTTTACTCATCTAATTGCCGTGAATACAAACTAATATAGTAGAAGAGATATTACAACGAAAAGTGCTCTTTGGTTCTGTACATTTCACTAACATAATAAGTGGGATAGTAGAGTGAGTGAGCTAATATTCTAATGTACACTTTTGACACTAATTGTGATTTTGTAGGACATTTACACTATTTCATCAACACCTCTACACACGAAAGACCAATCAATATACTTATTTTGTACTTATTTTTTGAGAGAAAGACAAAAACACAAAATGTTTTGGGAGAACTCAAGCAAAGAAAAAGTGGAATTAATCATGTACAGACTTTTATCAGTGTCTCAATTGTCGTCTAGCAATTTTATTTCACTTTGGGCAATATGACATGGGTGAAAATTTCTTGTTGCGCTGTCGCTGTTTTGAAAAGTTGGCTCAAAACTTTCTCACGATATAAGTTTCTTCCCAATTACTGCTGTGTTAAGATTTTTTTTCTTCTTCTTCATCTTCTCTCGAAGAGATGGAGTGTTTATGGAATTTTGTATTATATATTTTGTCTCTGTCAAGAACGCAAAAGAACAAATAAAAATCGAACAAGACCAGAAAAAACAGCTACGAATTCTAAGATTTAATGTTATCATATAAATAAAACAGAACAATCCATCTCTAGGTCAATTGTTTTGAGTAAAAATTCGGAAAAAGAACAATATTCGTTTGCGATATATAGAATAAAAAGTATATAAATGCCATACACCTCCATCGGTATAATCTAATTTCTGCCAAGAATAGAAATCATAACTGGATGACAAATCAAAATCGTGCAGCAATGTCTCTGGAAACTGTTTGAATTCATTTTCATTTCTCTTGCTTTCCAAGAACGCCAGAAAAAGCCACCTTCAGAGCCACAAAATAAATATCATGAATGACAAGAGTAAGTATGAAAATAAAACAGCACCACATCACCAGTGAATTATTGTAGGAAAAGAATTCTACCACGTTTGTGATTAGCTAAAATTGTGACATTATGTGAAAAAGTCCATTTATATCTTGTCGGATTTCACTCAATCCGCCATTACATCGTTACAAAACTTGATGAGAAATGATAAAAACTATCTATGAATGTGGATTCTACTCTTCATCTGTGGCAATCTTTTATTTCGCATATAAAGTGAAATGACAAAAAAAAATGCATTGCGTAGTCTAACTTGTTCAATTCTCAGCCCAATTAAGTGGATTGTGAGGAGGAGTGATAAAATGGCTCTTTTTTCCAAGGAGCATGGATGAAAATGAGGAAGGGAGAAAAGAAATCAATGAAAGCACGTACCTCAAATCAGCCAATGGAAGAAAATCCACGTCCATGAGTGGACGAAGACTGGGTAAACTGTACGCCATAAGGTGACCAGTCGACAAGTAGCAAACTAAACAAACGCTATCTGAAATTCAATTAGGGTTAATCATGATTGTATTTCGCGCAAAATACAATTATACCACTGCGAGTCAAGAACAAAAAACATGTTTGCTTTTGGAGGGCTGCTCTTTTGTCATGAAATTTTCACGCAAGGGCGTAGCTAAGCCTCTTGAGCTACAGAACCTTTGATTTTCAATGCAATGCATTAAAAATGCGTAACAAAAAATCCCAAATCAAGTGAATATTCCTGATGTTTCACGCACTAAACATTTCTAGTGAAACATTTCTGTATATTCTTACTAGATGCTAGTTTTTTTCGGAAGCTTTCATAGCTACGCCCATGAAGGCACGTATTCTCAATTCGAGATAACAAGGCTAAAAGTTAAAAAAAAGGAATAGTAGCCACCAAAAGCAAACGAAAAAGATAAGCAAAGAGATTCACAACTCACCCCTAAAGCTAATAATCTCCGCCTTAATCACATAATCAGTATCCGCAATTTGCTGTCGGTAGACACAATTTTGACTTGGAAGTGCCACGACCCGTGCCTGCTTTTCACTGGTAATCACAATAAATTGCCGATCGCTGAAGGAGTCCTGATTACCAGACAGCGTCGGACTCATTCGATTGGGATTTTTCGTGGGTGTTCCTGCAAACGGACAATTGTACACAAAACATTACAAAGGACCGTCAATTATTTCACACCCTCTCCTCATGTTTTCCTTACTATTGTCTCTTTTCTCTGATTGCTTTTCATCCTTCCATGCTTCATAAGTATAAGGTACAAGAGCCCCATTGTAATCCAGGAACGACATAGATAGAATGGCACCCTTTAGTCGAAAAATAGGTCCTCCTGTGCCGACAAAACCACCACAAAACATTAGCCACATGTGACCACAGTTGATGTGCGCCACATCAACCAAATGCAACAATGATTCACTCACCCAGAATTGAGACAACCACAGGATTGGTTTTCCGGTTATCGGCATCCGGGAGAGTGATTGAAATTGTAAGAACTGACCCAAGACTTGTGCCAATCCACAGAGTCGGTTGCAGAGTTGTTGGATCTGATTTGATATTGAATTAACACCATTAATCGCATTTTGTAGGAGCGACAGATGATGATGATGAAAACTCACCACTCTTTTTTGTATAACTATCTGCGAATGCTAAACATTGAACAGCCTCGGAAGATATATTTTCTAAACTAGACATCGACGAAGAGCGTGATCGGGAAAATGAACTATCCAACTTATCTACTCGGCCGGTTGTATGAAAAATACAAATTCAATTAGTTTTCATCGTTCGCTGTGGCGCAAAAAATGCATTTTGGTATTATCATAAGTATAAGAACATTATGGTACAGGTTGAGAGGTTAATTACAGACATGTACTTAGATAGTCAAGTAAAGAGTTAGAGAGGTATAGCGACAGAGAGCTATATTGTGTAATAACATTGCTACAGATAGAAGGAACCAAAGTGTTTTTTTTTGTCTATCATGTTATGGTATAAAACTGTTAGAGTATATTAATGAAATTTTCGTATATCTTGTTAAAAATACAGAACGAACAAAAAGAATACCCAAGAGATTTTTCTCTTCACGTAACAGAAATCATACAACACAAAGTATACAACAATACAAATCAAGAGAAAAGCGTGCAGTTGTTTTTTTTTTAATTGAAAAGCATTTCCCTTTAATACAACGCCAAATAAACCATGTGAAATGAACACAAAAGGGAAAATTAAACATGTTTTTAATACGTTGGCATGCAGTAAATCAACACGTTAAGAGGGTACTTTTGTAATAACAACAAAACGGCTTTTGTATTCTTAAATAAATTGCTGTGAGGATAATTGGCAGTTTTAGGAGATGTTCTATATAACTTTATAGGTGTCAATCTTTTTGGTAGACATCGTCAGAGAAGGGAATAGACAGAGATTAGGGAATACACCAATTGTCAACATTTACAAGAAACGATTATGTTACAAGTATGACGGGAATGTCATCCTCTCTTCAGAGAAACTTTTGTCAGAAGTACAAATCAAATGGAAAGTCGTTTGAAAGTGAAGACGTAAATACATATAAGATAGATAAGGGATAATACTTTTGAAGGAGATTTACTATTTACTTGAAAAATCTTTTTTTATATCAAATTCTACCAAATATGTAGAGTTTACACAAAACACAAAACATTATTGTCATATTATTTGCGGTAATAAATTTTTGCTGGTAATACCACATAAAGATTTTAAGGGTCAATCCTTTTCTCAAATTTATCTACTATAAGAAAAGTGCATTTGAAAAGTCGCAAGCAGCCAAAATACGGGCAAATAGAAAAAAAATCTAATTTTGTTTGCTTAACACAACAAAAGAATGTTTCACCGAATTTTACAAAAGGTGTCCATACAAAAAGCATAGCAACTAAAGTTCGCTTCATTTTTTTATATCTTTTTTTTCCTTACAAAAACACTTAAATAAATTGTTGAAACTTGAAATTGAGAAAGAGAAACTCAAGAGCAGAAAGAGAAACTCATCTATAAATCAATATAGTATAATAATAACACTATAATTCCACATTTTCTCTCTCAACACGAAATTATAATAATACAGTACTGATCGATAGAAAACCATAAAATATAATCTGTTCGTGACAATTTTGCAAATATAATGTTGTTATGATATTCTGTTCTTTTTTTTCTATTTGGTGGATTTTGTCAATGAAATATGGAATTATAATGCAAAAAAGTGTTTGTATATAGAGAATATATAACAGGAAGAAATCATGTGCAATATATATGTTAAAAATTCAAAATTATTCTAAATATTAGTTAATCCTAGACAGTTTATATGGTTGATAGAGAAAGAGAGATTTTTCAGACAGTTATGTACGCTCATTTTAAATTCATGAGGTTTTAAAACAGTCACAAATAGAAAGAAAAATAACACCACAGAAACTCTGCCAGACATTTAGTTGAGGGTGTTCTTATGATAAAACATCACATTATTTTTTGTACGTTACTTTTTGGGAAAAAAAGAGGTTGTGAAATTAACAATTTTGTTCCTTGCGGTCAAGATAATGGTTCTTTTTTTTATGTGACAAAGAGAAATTGTCTGTAATTATTCTGATGGTTTTTGTTTACACAAAAAGAGAGTTTTAGATAGTACCACATCATAGGAGTATCTTAAAACATTCTAACACGAAAGTAAGGAAATTAAAGTGACGATTATAGTGATTATTAGGGAACTGAGAGAATAAATTTTGAGAAACACAATGAAGGAGAAAGTATGTAAATGGAAGAAACATAAACACTTCTGGAGAGGACTAATAACGAATTTATGACACATGAAAACATGACGATGAACATGAAGGCTTGGCGAAACATCTCCGAAGACTACAGAAAAAAGCGCCCATTTACATTTTATACTCAACTGCATTTCACATGAAGTTATACTGAAGCTTTCGCAATTAAGTTTAAACGAGAGAGGAAAATCGTTCATTGATTCTTTTTTTTCCAACAGTGGTGAAATCCAGATGAAAGTGTTCATGCATTTGACTGTATTTACTCCGCATGTAAAGTATATATAATCTCGATTAAACCCCAAATGCGGTGTACGCTCAATTGAAAAATAACAACCAGTTATTTTCAAAATTTCCACTGGTCACTGGTTTCGGCAAGCGTAAAAGCCACAGGAACTCTTTCGAGTATATAATTTAATTTCAACTCTCACACTCTAGAGCGCGGTTTTGCAAATATATATGTATGTATCTATGCACTTCCCTTCGGAGTACAGTTTCGCCTTGCATGGTGACACAACAGAAAAGTTAAGCTTCTAGTAGAGTTTGCTGGATTCGCTTCTTCCTTGAACGGAAACATGCTCTTGCCTTACCAATTGCTTATTAAACTAAGTACTTAATTCACTAAAACTACTGCAAATGAAACAGTTAAATTTATAAACTGAAATTTGTCTACAATACGTGAGCTAATGAACTTCCAATGTAATTAGTAACTAAAGGTGTTTTGCGGAAACTAAGGTATAGTTTTGCACATTTGCCGCTAACTTAAATGTATTGCAAAATTTTGACATAGTTGTTCTATTTATATTGTTTAGTTATTGATCTAATGTTTCTAATTATGTGAGAGACATTCACTAAATGAAATTATATTTTACCTATCACTTGACCTCGGTCTGAAATCATTTTCGTATCCAATTGTTATAAGAAGCAATAAAGTCAAATTAAAAATATTTGTTACACACATCAATATGAAATTTTTTACATCTATGTTTATGTTTTCTCTTTTCACTGAATGTTTAGATTATAAGAAAATAGTATGATCAACTCTATGGGGAAATACAGAATGTTTTTGTACCTGAATGTTAAAGAAATCATGTTAAACAGAAAGATAACTTCTGATAAATGACACAATTGTGAGGAAATGCATAGAATAGCGAATGATACTGAACACAGTAAAAACAAATTGTCATAATTGTTGCATGGATAAACACCGAGCGTCAGGAGGTCAGAGGAGGTAACAATGTTTATGCAACGGAAAGAGTCACACAAATATTGTCAGGCTTCTGTAATCACAACACATCAAAATTTAACACAATTATTTGTCTTTCATCAATTTTGAGAGGGCAGAAGAAGTATACATCTTCCGTTGCCATATCGAATACACACACACACGCACACGCCAACGACAACAACACCGACCACCAACACACATTTTATGGGGGAGGAAAAGAAACGTGACTTGGAAATCAAGAGTTGTGAAAACGAGTATGGAAGTTCCAACATGAGTGAGGCTGAAGGAGTTGGAGGTTTGTCTAACGATCTCGGTGAAAATTTTGCAATTAAACCAAAAAGGGGAAAAACGGAAGAATGTGTGTAAATGAAAGTCCGAAGACGTGTGGCGAAAGAACGAAAGGGGTTCGCTAAGAAAATGAGGACGTGGTACTACCAAAACTGCAAAACTGTCGCGTCATTAGAAGGTTATGCGACAGTGGTGTCAGCTGAGGTCGATTCATTGAACTCTCCTCCCCGTAGGATGCGGTGGATAGGCATTTTTGTAACTTCTTCCCACCTTGCGACCGGGACTTTCGCACGGCCTCCGGCCCACCGACACCGGCCGGGATGGATGACACACCGCGACGGCTTGACGGACTTCCAGTGCCGCCGCCACCGCCACCCACAACACCACTGCTCACACCACAACCCGACGCCGAACCACTCATTATACTTGTGCGGTCTTGGACATATGCTGCCGCTGCTGGTGCTCCGCCGGCGCCGCCGCTGGGGCCGCCGCCCACTCCGCCGCAAAGTCCATTCATCTGGGATAAAGTCATATACATTTCCAACTAATTCACTCTCACTGGCCAACAGCTCAGCGTTCTTAACCGCCCGTTTGGCTTCTCTTGCTTCAAATCAAAAGGCTAGATAAACAAACAAATCAACATTGGGAAATCAAAGTAAGAAAATTAAAATTCTCATATTGGAGAATCCAGAAAATCACCTTGTATGCAAATTCCTAGTGCTGCGACTCTTAATTTAAGCAAATGGGCGGGCTTTCTGAAGTGCCACTCGACAAATTCGTCATACATTCATAGTAAATATTAATGTTAAGCTTGATGATATGACACTAAATTGCTCTGGACACGAACACTCTTTAAGATTGTACATCAAACATTATTTGCAGGACACACACGTTTTCATTATTCATGTCGAAGTCAGTTGAAACCGTTCAAACTATGGAATTATGTTGAAAATTATTCTGAAAACAAACACAAATCCAAATAGCCAACATAAATTTAATACGAAACACTCGTACAATCGAATGAGAGCATAATTTCAGGCAACCACGGAACCTCATATGGTCCCATAACGGGCATTAATTTGCAATTGCATCGATTTGTGGTCAGTCAGATTGTGATGGCATTTATTTAAATATCTATTCATGGCATTAAAATTGCATCTATGCACTTCAGATTCATGTCATATTGTATAGATATCGCTCAAAATATCTATTCAATTCATCTTTTATTGCTCAAAATGCCCAAATTGTGTGATATCCCGCATAATGGTATCATAAAGCAGCGCAATTCAGCTGAAAAAATCTGTTTTTTAGACAATTTCTGGATTCTCTGAACACATAAACTTCCAACTGAACACAGTTGGTAAAAAACAACAGTGTAAAATTTGAAAATACAAAACTTGATGTTCGAAAAGACTCATGTGAACCAATATATTTAAATGGCATATTGGTATAACATAAAACGAAGAGGATGAAAATAGTTTGTGTGTTGTGTTGTGTTTTAGCTGGTATTATAAGAGATAAAATATAATTCGAGTGTTATTGCAGAGAAAGTCATTCGAGAAGAAAAAAAAAAGAATATTTTGTTGTATAATAAAATGTAATTTAAATCTACAATTATTGCACATCGACTTTCGTTCGTGGTATATATGTACGTCGCAAGTACGCTATAATAGCAAAACGGTAATACGCATGAACTCAAAATCAATTTCATTTCTATTGTGAGTGAAATTACATATCCAATACAAATTTTCACCGTTTATACGCAACCAGAAATTTTGCATTTGCAATAAGTATAATGAAGCGAGCTTTTCACGCATCCCACAAAATCCAGAATAGCAATTAATAATTAATGCGAATTACTCATTACCTCTAGTGATATTGATATTAAATAACGATTAAAATGGTAAATGACTGATGAAACCACATAAAATATATGTATGTATGTATATAGAATCAAATTCTCCAACTATATATAAACTTGGTGACTCTCAAAAATATGTATAAAACGCTCGATAAATTAGCCATAGATCAAATGTCTTTTTCCTCTCAGAAAACCACTCTAATTTGAATACCAAATATATTTTGTAGTGGAAAAGAAAATAATAAGACTTCTCTAAATACGCAAATTTCATTTCTCTCGCTCAACATTAAAAGTTTCATCAAATACATTTTTTTTTACAGTCAATGAGTTAAATACTATTGTAGAGTATAAAAAGTTAGTTACCAAAAAGTTCTCCGAAAAGGTATTTAAGGCAGTTTTGATCATCCGAATCGGACGAATCCTTATGTGAGAATGAAGATGACGAGGATTGTGTATGTTGTGAAAGAGATTAAAACATGTATTATTTGAGGGAAATGTCATTCTAACAATGCACTGGTGGACTGTTCGCATATTTGAATAAATAAGTGGCACACAAATTCACGTTATTTAATCGAAATATGCGAAGCTTCAGACCAAATCACTGGCGAAGGTGCATAATGATAAATTTAGTTATTTCAACATGATGAATTCAAGGTAAAACTGCACACGCCATTGCAGTCGATGTACATTTATTGTAAATTTTGGTAAATTTAAAGTAATCAAACACGAAAAGTCTGGATGTATTTTCAGTGTATTCGCTATAGAAGAATATATTTGAGTAACACTTTGAACTTCAACAAAGACTGTGAATGTTTTTTTCTGTCTGTTTAAGTCAAACCATCACCAGAAGTGAATTTCCTGCTCACGAAATCACATATGAAATCAGTTTTATCATCATATTTATATAAAAAACAGAGTATATGATTAAATGGTGTAAGTGAGTAAGTTGTATTTATGATAATTCGAGAAATTGCATAGAGAGAATCAGGCAGTATAAAGATGTAGTGATAAATTAAATTTATAAGTAGAATATATTTCAAAAATATGTAATAAAAACAAATCTAAATTTGTAGTCTTTGGAATGGTGTGTTTTGTGTGAAACAGCATCGTTTGTTGTTATAGAAAATTTATTGTGTTCTGTAGATAATAAAAAACTTTTGTCATACAATGTTAAAACAATCTCTTCAAAAGAACTCCACATGCAAAATGTATTGCATTTCCCAGAAGTTGTAATCAACGAATCTAAATTGATTATAGGAAAATTGTTTGTCTCAAATTTTTACCATGCTCATAAATCATCTGCGCTTTCTAATCAAAATGCATACCATTCGACTGAATGTCTCAAATATTTTACTTTTGCTCATTTCCTTTATTGAAAGAAGAAAAAAACCACTATTTCCATTACTAAATGTTAGAAAATGATAAAGAATTGCATCTAACTTCTATTATTGTATGTAAATTTAATGGATAATGAACGACATTAAGAGTAAAGATGCTACTTTCTTTATCAAAACTTTTTTCATTAAATATTTTATCATGTAATTTCAATGTAAATTTAGTTCCCGCGGAGGAATATACATTCGTTCTCTCCAGTCGCCACACAATATGTTTATTCTTTACCGCCCACTCACCCAATGGAAAATACGCTCTTTCTCCCTTCATGTATTTATCTAACATTATTTTTACATTTATCCGAGACAGAGAGCTTCACGCTCAAGCAAGGTCCGCGGTAGAAAAATAATGAATTTGTTATTGTACAAGAACAATATAATGTTCAATTGGTCTTGAGATATACAGCGAGCGGAAAACCCAGGAAGATAGAAGACAGTGGACGTATTTGTGCCCAGAGGCGGCAAAAAAGTTGTGAAACATGATGGATTCACTTCAACTGAACTTTTTTTTATATCTTCCTCCATACTGGATATACTCTTTCCCCCTTATTTTTTTTTGCCTTCGCCGAGCACACCCTCCGCCCATCGCCCGCCCCCCGCGCCATTTCACCACACACAGATTGCGAGTATCCTCGCAGCAATCACGAGAAATTTACTGCACACATAAGAATTACAATGTTATGAGAACACGGTGGGTTACAAGAAATATCGATTGGAGAAGATGAAGAGGAGGAAGAAGAAGAAGAAGAGGAGAAAAAGTCCGTGTAGCATTTTTCTCCGGACAACTCTTGTGGTTGTATCTGGGAAAAGCGCAAGCAGTCGCACAATGGCTTACAGAAGAGTTGGGGCACTCTAAATCATCTGCTTAATGGAGAATTTCACCCATCATGATATCCTTATGCTGTCTAAATAATGTTGTTTGGCACAAAAACTATCGCAACGTTCGCATTAGTTGCTCAATTAAGGAAAGAATCCCTCATTGCCCTCACTATTTATCTGTCACATTGTTTTCAATTTAATTTCAGCTACTGTTTTATGTAAATATCTCCATTCCCTATAACATACTGTATCTTTCATTTCTGAAGTGATCCTGTTTTGATTGATCCCACTTTTACGCTTCGAGCACTTTTTGCTTCTCGCATATCTTTTGATGTGCAGAAAGCATAGTATTTTCGCCGCCTCTGAACACAAATCACATGGATGTACACAATTCAAGTGAATTGGAGGATGTAACAATGTTCGTCGCAATGTAAATGTTGGATGGTTAGAAGCACTGGGTTTAGAGATCATATATTGTAAAGATGAATTATTATGTATGTTGTTATTAAAAACGTTCAGCAGCAAGCCAAAGAAGTCCGCCAACAAACAAGAATTCCATCACCAACCAACCACAAATAGGACTATTAAGATTTTAAACAAAAACATAAGAATGGAAAGGAATGAAACAAAAGATTGATAAGAATTTCGGAGATTCCTTTTCATTTCATCAGAAATATGTTATCTAAAGTTAAAAAAGTCGCTGACAAACATGATGAAAATGTAATCATTTCAAGAAAAAAGGGGGCTTTTTGGGAGAGAAATTGAGGATTTTCAGCGACACATTTCTCAGACTTGATACTTACTGAAGCGCCTCATTAAATTCCCAGCAAAGGAGGACGCGCTTGCCGATCCAGCCTCGTGCCCACGGCCGACACTCGCTGCACCCTTTCCCCTAAGATCCTTAAAATGCTGGCCACTAACGTCCTGCTTACTGTACTTGATATTTGGCACGGATAGGAGTCTCTGTTTCTCCTTCTTTTTACCACGCGGCGGCACCACGGGCCGGTCTGGATCCCCATCGGCGAACAGTGGCAGATCCGAAGGCCTGGACAGGCGGGCTCCCTCAACTGGGGACACCACAGTGACCCTCTGGACGGGCTCCTCGATAAACTCAACTCGCTTCTGGTCGCGCACGAAGTTCGACTCTGTCTGCTGAAGAATGCTCTTGGGCACACTCTGAGCCACGCCCAGACAAGGCGATGTTCTCATCACTTCGTGCTGCCTCTCAATCTCCCTCTCCACCGTGTCACACCGCTGATTACTCACTTCGTCAAGACTCTGGACTATTTCCGACTCAATTTGCTCCACATAGTCAGATTTGTCTTGCTCAGTGTCTGTCGACGTGGACTTGGGATCACTATCCGGCGATATCTCTACAGGTGAGAGCGGAACACCTTCCGTGGCGCCGCAATAAAACACCGAACCCCTCTTGCCACCGGCACCGCCACCTGATGAATCTCCTGTGCCAAAGGTGCTTCGTATTTTCGTATCGACCTTGCTCAATTGTCGCTTGATATTGAATGCCTTCCAGGAGGAGGACTTTCGCCTCTGCTCACCACCAACCCTCCCCACATCCTCGGGCGTCACGGACTCATCAACTGGCACAGCTGCCACCTCGAGGGCTTCATTTGCTGGTGACGGCGCTCTCGAGGAGTTCTGGCTACTCTCCAAGGGCAATGACGACGGCATTGATGGCGTCTTTTGCGGGCTACTCGACAACTCGGGTAACTATACAAAATTGTACATAATGTTCTTTTTACATTTGGCCTACAGTTATCCTACTCTGCAAACATGTCCCTCGACCTGCAATCTATCTATCGGCTCTCCTTCTCCCAATGCCTCCAAAGTCCACAGACGGCATCATGAGATTGAAAAGCGATAGCCAATACAAACTACACATACTCTGTGATTTTTACAAAAGAATATTTGCACACTGACACAGAATGAAGAAATATATTTTATTTGAATTTCATCGGCAATTTATCGATGAACACTTTTGATCCTCATGATACCACCCGAGGCAAATACATCGGAAAAGGGCATAGAAAAAGAATATTAAAGGTGTGTCTTACGTCAATGAGATTTGAGAAAGCGGTAAATACTTGAGTAGAAAGAAAAGAGAAAGGAACAGGCTTTAGAGAGAAAAAAAAAACTTCTACTGTGATGTATATTCACTATAAATGCATGGAATCATCAAGTGAAGTATCCTTTCACTGGCTATATTTCCACCTTTTCCTTTTCCACCTGGCATTAATTTCAAATTTTCCCTCACCCCTCGTGGAGAGGGTACAATTTCACCCCGAGAATCATGTAAAATGAAAGCAAAATTGGTGTTCTCTTCTGGTATGCGATGACTTGCTTGAGATTGATTTCATTAAATATTAAACACATTTTCCAGTATATATAATTATCATCTTGTGTCGTGTATAAGATACCAAAAAAAAAGATAGAGAGAGAGAAAACTAAAGGAGAAATGCAAGAGGGCGAGGATATAATATGGTTTGTGAATAATAAAAAAGAGTAAGAAAGTTTTCTGAATAATCTAGTCATTTGTCTTTCATCTTTGTTTTGTCTTAATGAAAACTGCAAAAAGAAGGAGACGATAAAATGGAAAAGAAAAAATTGACTGAAGCTTCTTCTCAATAAAATCATCTTTTACGCGATTCTCCTTGTCAGCAATTTGTGGCAAGATTTCAATTTTCTCCAATCGCAAATCTGATTGTATATGTGTACAATCATAGAAAAATCAAAAGAAAAGGATAACGAAACAACTCAGCTCTGAACGGAATGCAAGAAAAAACGCGGGCGCAAGAGTTGATTGACAACATGATGATGCTTACCTGATCTATACTTGGAGATCTTGTCTGCTCATCCCTATATCCGGGCGGATCGACCCGTTTCGGGCTCCGTGGCGCTCGTGAATAAGGATCTTGTGCACCATACAAGTCCGGACTCGCCACGTTGAGAAGACATATTTTCTGTACATAATCTACAATCACAAGTCCATACTCATTCCCATAAGCCATTCTAGGAATTTGCAGGAGGTGAGAGGAAGGGAAAATATATAACATTAATTAAACTGTGTGGCGCCATGAAAATCTCTCTCTCAAACACACACACTCGGGCCATGAGCGCGGGTCTCAGCGCAGAAGAGAGGCTACTTACAATCCATAGTTGGAATTTATCGCCACAGCTGTAATTTGTCCCGGATGACTGCTATTTGTCCAAGGTGTGAGGCACACGAGTTGTGCTTGAAATCCTGGTGGCTTTCGCTGCGGTCCCTGCCTCACCCGTAGCATCCCGTCATTTTTCCGCTCCACGTCCGACGATTCACCCTGCTTGGGCAGCGGCCGAGGGATGAACTCGTAGTCCGGACTGCCTTCGCCCTCTTCGAAATTCTCAAACGTAATAGGAATCTCCAGTACCTGAGTGACACAAGAAGCATCGTGCTAATAAACAGCTCATGAAATAGTCCAGTGGCTACTAATTCTCACCAGAATGTCTGATGTGCTCTCCATCTTTCTAAATTTAAAAAGTATCACTTGTCCACTGGCACCCGCAACACACAACCTCCTTGATTCTGCACAGAGCGTAATAAATTGAATAGCTAATGGGTCTTCATCGGATCCATCCACTGACTTGGTTCGTGGTCTCTCGAATATTTTGGCCGTTTTCAGTTTGTATAAAATCTGAAAGAGAGAATAAGCAAAATTGGTGTTAATTTCACGAAGAATTCACTCCGAAGCATTGCAATCTCAGCTTCAGATAATTAAAGCTAAAGAAAGCTACAAATCTTCAAACTTAAGACGTAATCCTCATTCAGACACCACAAGAAAATCCTCTTGAATATCAAATATTTCTTCCTGGCTTTGCATAAAAGCACACACAGATACAAATGGACACATTTCATGCAATAAAAATCATTGAAAAGTGAAAATTTTTGGTCATTTGCGCAAATTAGCTAATAAAAATCCGCTACAAATTCCATTTGCATCGCCCGTACGTTTTGCCATTCGGCAAAGCTATAAACACTCAAGGCTATGCTCATAATTGCAAAATGATGTGGTCATTCCTGATGTTATCAATCGAGTCTTAGAGAGAGTAAATGAGTAATTTCCAGTACATAAGCCAAGAGACGTAAAAAGAATTGAGGGTATTTTGTCGAACATTTAGTCTGGTATTCACCCCTCAGGAAAAAAAAACACACGCCCTGCGATCAATGGGGGTAATGAAAATCTTTTACTGTCATTAATGACGAGATCCCAATTTTGATGGTCTTTCCCTGGACTGAATATAGCCTTTATCATTTGATTTTTCAATGCACGTAAGACGCACGGCTTTTACGACTCCGTTTCAATCTTTTATCAGCACACAAGCACACTTACTTGTAAAGTTCCTGCACTAGCGTCCCAGAATTTAATAGAACCATCTTGATGACCGGTAATAATTATTTCTGAGTAGCTACACGATGCCGGTGCCCATTCGCCACCCGACAGTGGCCATTCCTGGTCTGAGAATCCCGTCCGCCTGCTTCCTGGGTTTCGGCCAACCTTCAATGGCAAGGAGTAAACAATTTCCACAAAATACTCTCAGATTTATCATCGCGTACTAAATTTTCACTTCAGCTCTCTCTCTCTCTTGCGGGTACGCTCTTGTTCTACGGAGAAACACACCGCCCAGTCTGACTTTTGCTCATGTGGGTCAGCACAAAGGATGCCCGAGGAGAGAGAGAGAGAGAGAGAGAGCACGAGAGCGTATGGAAATAAATCAATAAACTCACCGAATAAAATGCTGGAACTAGATCCGAAGGACAATCTGATAAATAAGTGCAACATGTAACTGGTGATTCATGAAGGTCCATGGGGTAAGGCGATTCAAAACATGGAAAACCGGGAGTCAATAAATCTATTAAAACTAAATCATTTTGTAACAGCACAGCTATTGCATAAGGTTCTTGCATATCTGAAATGAGATATAAATGATTAATTAGTGGTCAAGTCCTGTTGCAACTGCTACAGCGTAATTAGGGTGACCTCAAAATGTCATGTTAACATTCGCCTTTTTGCGGCGTTGAAAATCTTCTCCGTCACACAGTGAGCCAACTGAGCTGAAAATTCGAACGCAGTCACTCAATATTTGAGCCGCGCACAGTTCAGTTGATTCACCCAGGCGTGAATGAATTTTTAATGCCAGAATTGCTCTCACCACTAGCCCATGGACTCTCGCATATCGTTATAAAATCCACCACAGGATGTTCCATCTCCAGGACTGTGGTAGCTTTGCCTTGAAGCACTGTGATACACGGTGACTTTCCGCCCTTCTCCATCGACAAACCACCCGAGAATATTGTGAAAGTTTCCCTAAAACGTGTATTTAGTGGCATTTTAACCATAACACTCAATTCTTCCGCTGAGTCTCCCCAAAAACTCACCCCGTCCTTGACGTCTTTAGTTCCACTTTGTGTATGGGTTTGCAGGATTCCAATTTGCCTTCTTTCGTCGTTTTTGCTGGAAAACAGAGTAGCACTTTTAATAAAAACCACTAAAAGCATCCGGATGCATTCTTGCTGAGGTGGAACTACTTGATGAGATAATTCAATCAAATGTGGAATTTTGCATGTGAATGCCTTACCATGTGGATATGAGTGGAATTGGGGCTTTGGTGTTGCTCTTAAAGGCCACGTACACAGTGATCCATCCGTGTGAGAAGACACAATGTGCTTCCCCTCGTGATGCCACGACACAGATCTCAGTGGTTCAGACGATTGCCATCGGAGTTCGGCAAATTTTCCTCGCATGTCCCATAATACTATTAGTCCTGACTCATATGCAATTAGCAACTAGTGGAGTTGTCATCCGGACGGGGTAAATTAAGAGAAAAAGAGAAAGAACGTGAGAAAATTTGTTAAAATTAATAGATTGTGTCTCTCTGCTACTCTGGACAATTTCTCCTCCTCCACCTTTTTTTTCATTTCGCTTCAATTCCACCACCATAGAGATGATGCCCGTGATGAAGGAGAAGAGGAGGAGAAGGGGATGTGAAAACAAAGTAGAAACTTACTTTATTAGCATCCAAGGGATTATCGCACAACTGAACAACAGAACCGGGATGTGTTGTCCGTACTCTGTAACAAATAAAAGAAATAAACTTTTTTTTATGATAATCATTTTTGCCGGTTTTATTCTTCGAGCAAAAGTGTTAAGGATTTTCACCCATCCCTCAACCCCATTCCGTATTGCCTCACTTCCTATTCCATCCCCAATTTTTCAACCATTCATCTTGGTTTCTCCAGTAAAAATTCTTCAAGCATGAATCTATAAAAAAAGAGTCTCCTAGACGAAATACATTTCTGAGAAATTAAATTTTATCTCTCACTCACCCACCCACCCACTCGTGGAAAGGGCGGTGGCTACGTGGAGTAAAACAGGGAAGCAATATGATATAATTTTAAGACTTTCCTTTTTTACAATACATTCTGGGTAACCTTGGTAACAATTTGAAAATGATGATGACAAGAACACAAACTTTTATATACAATTTGTCTCCCAGAGCCACGCGAACTTATAGAACCATGACAAAAGTTTTATAGGGCTTCGAAGTGCTTATTCAATGAGTGACAATAGCTAAATCAACAAATTAGACTTTAATGACGACTAAAAGACGACATTTTTGAGACGCCACTTGAATGCAATGCTCATAAAACCAACTTAATCAGCCAACTATCAACACAACTATTTATATCGATCGAAATTCACCACATTTTCTTATCCAATCCATCTCACCACTTAATGAATAGCCCAGAAACATGACATCCATGATGCAAATTCAACTTGAACGGCGCTTTGTTGTCGCAAAAAAGATTCTTTTTCCACTGCCATCAACTCGACACTGCTGGAACAATGGCAAAATTTCCCTTTCAACTGCTTCATTTGTTTATGATTAATTATACACTCAGCGTCTTGGCGGTCGGCACAGGGTGTGTGTGTGTACAAAACGGCTTTCAATTTTGAAAATTCAATCTCTCTAACATGCGAAATACGCGCCTCGAAAGTTGACACATTTTGCCCGTATGGCGACAAAGAAAAGCACAGCGACCAAGAAATTGATTGATTATAATTTAAGTAAATTTATATCCAATTTCAACCGAATGGATATAAAATGACACTGTGTATAGAAACACCATTCTCCCCATCTCACCAACTTGGAATTCGATTTTCTGCTAATTGTGACATGCTCGGGAAATTTGACTAGAGCGCCTCGTGAGGGATAGCGATAGGGGCTGTTGGAGAATTGTGGTACCCAGATGGTTGAGATATGGTCCGTTTTTAATGTAATTTCTTAATGAAAATGCCTTTTATGGAGTCACTCATCTTCACATGCTTTCACCCATCGCAGCAAACAAATTTATGTATTGTGCGACAAATTAAATTTGTTGAACATCGCTCGTAAATCGCGTCCCTGTCTTTAATCATTTCACTTCCCCACGTTTACAACTTGTCACGGAATACGGCGAGATGATGCGCAATTCAACAGCTTAGCTGAGAGCACCATTTGCGGGCTGAGAGTGTCCTGAATCCATGCAAATGTCGCAGGTGAGGAATAGAGAGCAACAACTCGTGTCAAATAGCGTCTACCTGACCATTACAAAGTACCACAATATCTCATCATCTTTCAGACGGAACTGAGCAGTTTGGAAAAAAAATGGGAGGGAATCCATAAATTTTCCGCCCAATGCAATTATTCAAATTAATTGCCCTTCAACCCACAAAAAAGGACGATTCTCTCACTCGCTTCCTCAAGAAATCCCAAATCCTCACCTCACAGGGCGAATAAACTTTTGTACATGCCACACTCAGAAGACCTATCCCTCATTTGCTATTCATATTCCTATACAGATTTTGAAATATTAATTAGTTAATTTAGATTAAGCACAACGCATTTGCAAAGTTTATTTCAAGAAAAGGTGAAAGGTACTGCTTAATATTGTAAAGATTTTCCCACCTTTTTGCTCCCCTTCCGCCCAAAATGTGACAAGAATGATTCTCAATTCAGTGCCACAAGACTGAATTAATCTCATCCCCTCAAAATTAAGGGGAGAATTTCACAAAACCCCACATCCATTTACATTCAACCTCAAAGAACTTCCAAAGATATAAAAAAAAAGGGAATCTAAATAGAAAACCCATAATTTACACACATTTACCAATAAAACCCACCTAAAACTCCACCCCATTTTCAGGTTCATCTCGCAAAAACTTTCTCTGTGCTCAGGCACCGGAGTTTTATTTGGCCAAATTTTACCCGGAAACGCTATTCGCAATTCAAAGAGAAGCGCCACAGCAATTTAAATAGTTAATAGCCGGAAGCAAGGATTTTTCCCAATTTCTCTCTCTTTACACATTTTCTTATCTATTTTCAGCCCTTTAAAACGTACAACTCGACAGCTTAGAGATACAATAAGGAAAAGGGACGGTAGCTGAGAAAAAAAAAACTTCTATTTCGTTTAGGATATAGAAATTGAAATTACTTTTTGCTCAACCACTCTTTTTTGCCCTCCAATTTCATTGTAATATTTTATCGAATTTTATGCAGCGAAACCATTAGCAAGCCCGTCCACTTTGGCAGTATATTTCAACACATTATCACATTCGGAGAAATTTAAAATTGGCTCTCTCGAAAGCTTAATCAGAAAGGAAGGCCATCAGCTTCTTGACCTGATGTGTTCCTGAAGTTGCCAACGGGATAATTGGAGCGTAAAGATTTCTATAGTTCAATTTCTCTCAGCCATAACAAATGGGTAAATTGTAGATAAGAAATATCATGTAAATACTCCAATTCAAAGGGACTATGACAAAAGTATTATGTTATAAAACAAGTTATACAGCAGACTAAATGACTTAAGCTTTGAGGTCAGCATAAGCCATTGGTTATGTGGTTTATAAGTAAATCCCGAGGCGGTCCGACGACAAACACCTATCACCCAATGTGACACAACATCCTTTAGGTTTGTTCACTAATACCTAAAACCATTATAAACTTTTTGGGTTCACCCGAGCAACTTCTTAATTCCAACAGTGTAAATGATTCCGAGGAAATTGGATTCTATTCATAGGTGCAACCTTGGATGTACTTAGCTATCTATTTGGTCCTCTTATTGAGTTCATCACTAAATAATTGTGTGTAATTTTTTCCAGAGTGAAAAATGTGATTGCAAAATTATACAGTATTTTCAGAAATGCTTTATATTTGTAATTAAACATTTCCCGATACTATTAAATATACATAGAATGTTTTATCATTGACATTTCTCCTAAAGTTAAATTAATCGTTTAGTAAGTCAAAAGCTATTATTTTCAATGTTTCCGGGAGAATTAAAATCCCTCATTTCCGATATGCTGTAAAACACACACACACACACACACACGCCATTTGCTGGAAAACATCGAGAATGGGTGGAGAGCGATAGTCTGACAATGACACTGACATACATAGAAGGTTGTTTGCTTGTAATGCTACCCCATAAGCTTATGTGGAAGCAAGACGTTAGATGGAAGACAATTTATTGGTGAAATGCCAAATTGGGATGCGATGACATCGATATTAGACAATTCAGAGTGACCTAGTAAGAACCACACAACCGAACATGGAAAACACTGCACATGGGATGAGTTTGCAGAAAAAATTGATTTTCCAGGATATTTTATATATGCAATATGCTGAGCACATCAGCCATTACTTAATAAATGGCATTTCTCTATCACAGCCACGGGATAATTCAGTGTCGCATTTAACTTTCTTGCCAGATAATGTCGCCTAATGAATGTAATGTCACAAAAACTGACTGACAAACTCATTTCGAAGTCCTGGGACATGTTTTTACATTCCCTCAGCATACACAGTTTAGGAATTAGCATATAATGTAGCACAGAATGTGTTATCTGGAACATTACAATCAGTGGCGCAGCATTATACTCTTTCAAACTGTGATTCATCAACAGAAGAGGACTTCAAACGGCGACACCGAGAGTCATTCCCGAATGTTCATTAGGAATTCATGTAAAGCGCTTTCCAAAATTAATTTCGTGGAATCATGATATTGCTTCCCTTTAGTGCTGGAATATTGGGCTTTTGGGTATGGACATCCAGGGTTTTGTGACCGAGAGACGACCTGGAAATAACTCATTGAGGAAATTAATTGCCTATTATGCATACAATTTTAATGAAAATAAGTTTAGCGTCAGCAAATACACTTCCCCATCCCATTCACGATCTGGCCTCCAGTAATTAAATCTGTACTTCAATCATGGTGTAATACGCCATCTTTCTCTCTCTCTGTCTAAGTCCTTTGCCAACCCCTCATCCCGCCCCTAAACTGCAAAAGTCACAAGTTTGCACCCCAAAGCCCAGGTGCTCACAAAAGCCCGTTGCGAAGGTGCTGGGAAAAATTAATTAATTTCCTTCTCTTTCTCTCTTTCTGACTTTATTAATGAAAGAAAGTATGTAGAATCTTCGATGTGGTAGAGTAATATGTTTTATACATATTTATGTAATTTAATTGTGAGTGACGAAGGTTGCAAACCACCAAATAATTAATTTATTTGCAAAATGTGCTTTCTATTGTATGGCTTCTCGAGAGAGCCACGGAACCATGGAAAATTAACACTTCACCCGCCACCCACCCTCGCAACCCCAGGAACAATTTATACATAAACACCCGACTTGAGCTGGGATAGTCTTTGCAATCCATTAGCCTCTCTCACTTTTCCACCAAAAGGCACCACCCATGCACATGAATCTTCATCACTAACTAATATTAATAACACATATGCAGAACACCTCACATTGAAAATCCATAATATATGAGGGAAAACGCTACACACGTTGGCTTAAGTATCACTTCAACCCAAATATTACTCACCCACAACTCACAGCCATCGTCACCATTCTAACAAGTCACACTAATAATTGAGCATCAAGTCGCGCTTCTGAATTTCGCTCCTCCCATTCCATATTCATTCACTCTCAGTAATATCCATGTCTGATCACTTTGCCTGATACACTCGCTATACAGGATATGGCAGGATCTAAGTGAACTCCACAATGAAGCGCTCCGATAATGCTATT